TACTTCTTACTATAAGAATATAGTCTTTCTCTATTTTTTATAAATAATTATTATAGATTAATTCTTTATACTCGATATACCTTTCTAATTAGATCTTAGCGCGTCTCTCTTCGTATATATATATCTATATATAGATTAAAAACGTATAGTAAGCGATTAGAGTTCGATTTAACTTAGAGTTAAGGCTAAAATTCGATTTAACTTAAAAAAATTTAACTCTATAAATTTAATTTATAGGCATTTACTTATTATCTAATCTCGCGGATAATATATAATATATAACTCTTTCTTTAAACTATATAATTAGAGTTTTTATAAAAATAATATTTTTATAATAATTATAATATTCGATAAAATAGATCGTTATTATTACTTTAGTCTTATCGAAATACTTTAAAAAAGTCTTTCGAATATATTTAGATTAAGATCAATTAATAATAATATATTATTTTCTTAATATTCTTATAAGTCGTTTAATATTTATTTTTTATTTATTTATTAAAGAGGTAATTAAGTCTATAGATAATAGACTAATTAAATTCTTCTTAATAAATTAAATAAAATTATTATATATATTTAATATATAAACTATATAATTATTTTATTACTATATATTTAATAGAGAATAAATACTTCTAAATAATAATTACTATATAATAAGATATATATTTAAATTATTAATATTTATTTCGAAAGTATTAATAGTAATAAGAAATTAAACTTTAAAGATTAATATCTTAAATTCGATAGCTATAATTTTTAATTTCTCTTTATTTATTTCGCTATTATAAGCTTAAAAAAGTTTTTTTATCTCTCTTATTATTTAATCTATATTTATATATTATTAAATTAATTAATTAATAATTTTATAATTAAAGTAAATAATATTAATATAAATAATAAAAATTCTCGAAAAAAAAATTCGATTTTTATAGGGCTTTAATATTAAATATAATATTTTTATGATTAATAAAAGTCTTTATAATTTTAATAAGTTTATTATCTTCGAAATTAGCTAGATATTAATAAATATCTAATAATTAATTATCTAATATTATTAAGATTTTAAATTAAAATATATTTAAAGTTAATATTTTTATATTATAAAGTTAATTATATTTAGAATAAAAGCTATCGCTTTATTAATAAATTATATACATCTTATTAATAGTAATAAAGCTAAATCGCGAGATAAAATTAATATTTTTTATTATAATAATTTTAAATATATTATTATCTATAAAGATTTTAAGACTAATAAGTATATATATATAGAATTCTTTAATAATATTATATAGATTATTCTTATTATTATTTTTATTATTTAGAATAAAAACTTTAGTATTAAATAGTATATTAATTTTTCCTTATTAATCTAATTATAATATATTAAATAAATAAATAATTATTATTATACTATTCGATTTTAATAGAAATAGAGAGTAGAAGATAAGACTTTTTTTAAAGTCTATTCTTATTATTAAAATAACGTCTTTATTATTAAATAAATAATAAATTATTTATATCTATTTTAATTTAAATCTATTTTTAACCTCGCTTAGATTTATATATTATTATTAATTTTATAACTTAATTAGAGTATAATATTACTAGATATTTATATTATCTAGATATTTTAAGATATTAATAATTTTATAATTAATCGCTATTATTATATTAGAAATAGAATATTAAATATTAGATCTAAAAGTAGTATAAAAAAAGATATTAATATTATTAATAATATATAAAATATTATTAAAATTACGATAATTATTTTACTTTTTTACATTTTTATAATATTTAGAATATCGCTATAATAAGAGCGAGAAAGAGCTTAATTCGTTATTTATTTTTTAAGATTTTATAAAATCGCTAAAGTAATCTTCATTTTACTTTTATATACGAAAATTAAATATATAAATTTTTAAATTTCTTTTAATTTAAATTATTAAAAGTTTTTAAACTTCGCTATTATATAGAGAAAGAATATTATTATAAAATATAAAGAGATTAATATTTAAAGTTTAAAGATATCTTATTATTATTATTATAAAGAAAGTTAGATATTTAAATATTCTTAATATATTTTATATTTATATAAGTTTATTCTAAACGCGCTAACTACGTTAATATTATTTAAAATATATATATTATAATCTCTTTAATCTCTAAATAAAGTATATTTAAATTAATATATATTTCTATAGAGATAATATTTTAAATATTTAACTTTTTAATTAAGAGTAATATAATAAATCTATTTTAATAATTTCTTAATTTAATTTATTATATAATCTTTTAATAATATTAAATATAATATACTATTATTTAAGATTTTTTTAATAAAGATTAATTAATTAAAAGTAAATATTATAAGTACTAACGAAGATTATAATTTTAAATTAACTTATACGATAATAATAAGTTATTTAATTTTAATAAAAGATTTAAATATTTAATTAACGATCTTAATAGACTTATTTTCTCCGCGATTAATTTTAAAGAGTTATATAATAATTATAAAAAAACTATTAAAAGTCGTAAATTTCGTATTTCGATTAATTATTATAAGTATCTTATATAAAATAACGATTAATATAGCGATTTTAGGGTTTTCTATTTAGACTTTAAGGAAGGAGTATATCGTAATGAGCTTGCGATATAATTGGCCCCCGAAGCGAGGTATGAGTGTAGGGCTGGCCATAGGTACCTCGGCTAGCCGTGAGTCTGAATTACTGAGACTATACTCCTCCATAGAAAAACAACAAGCCGTCATCAACTTCATCAGGTTATGAGCCCGGTTTGACGAAAATCGTTACCACGACGGCTTCCTTCGTAAGGTATTACTAAAGGTATTCTTACGTTATATCAATTCAAGCTATAGAGTAGAGGTCCCGGTTGACGTCCGCTGCGTTAATACAAGTTGCTACTTATACCTCTACGGCTTCTCAGCGCGGTTTTATACCTCACAGATCCTACGATACGATATCGACCATAGCACTGTTAAAGGTAGAAGATTGGGGGGCTTAGGGCTAGGATTCAGGGGAGGAAAGTGGAAGCGTATTAGATAAGGCAGCTAGGGGAGGACTCGACAGTTTAGAAAGATGTCAGATGTTAGTGTTAGATGCCAGTGCCAGAGCCAGCGATGCCCGTGCCCGATGCCAGTGCCAGAAGCCCGTACATTTCGAAGTCGAATCAGTCACTCGATATACCTTACAACACGCCCACAAAGCCCTCTACGGAGGCATTCGACAAGGCTTTAGGGGAGGACAGTTTAGAGACACGAAGGAACAAACACCCGCTCGAAGCCTACAAACCAGTCACTCGATATACCCTACAGCAAGTCATCTCGGAAAGCCCTACTACGGTAGGCACATACACTCATTACGTCCAGAGCACTCTTCCCGATTTCCCTACGAACGAACGAGGTTTACGGGTTTTAAGGAGGCTTCAAAGCAGGACACAGGCAATTGATTCATGGAAAGCTACAGCTACAGTCCCAGGGGGGAAGCAAATAGGTCTTCGCTGCAGGGGGAGTGTTGGAATTCAGCAACTCAGCCCTGTTATGCTTGGCATGAACTATAAGTAGCAGTACTCCTCCATAGAAAAACAACAAGCCGTCATCAATTTCATCAATGGCGAGTTGTTGGCCACGAGAGATCTGTCTTCTTTCCCTTTCCTTTTTCCTTCTTTCTCTCTTCTCGACACGACCCAGGGAACGATCAAGCGGATGCCTTCATGCAGGGGACGGATCGTCGTTGCATGCATTGAAGATATTTTTATCACTTCGTATGCAGTGTAGCGTTCAAATAACAGAGAAGCACGTCCAGCGTTCACCGGAGGGAGTATTATAGTATCTACAAATGAGAACTGGGATTCAATTCCGGGAGGATGATGACTATGAATACGAAGTCACCAGATGAAGTGAGACAGAGAAGGATCGAGAGTTTGCGCAAGATACGAACAAGTTCGCCTGAGATGATGTGAGATGCGTTCTCGGAATTCGGTATTCATGTAGGCGTGAAAGATTTATAAGAACCCACAATGCTTATGATTTAGAACCCAGTTACACCCAGATATTCCCTCCCAGATCACAGATAGTCTCCCACAAGTCTTCCACTTCTCTCAAATCATCAACATGATCCCGGGAACCATCATCGCCACCCTCCATCTCCTCGCAGCCGTCACCGCTACTCCTCAAGGTAGCGCAACTCCTCCGACTCCTCCCCCATCTACCACCACCACCACCGCCACCCCAAGCTTCACTCCCGTCGGCGTCGAGTATTATCTCCAAGCTCAACCTCTCAACGAGAACCCAAGTGACGTCGTCAACAACTACGTCTCAACCTACCATTCCGGTGCGGGCACGAATAACGTCACGCTCATCGCTCAGAGCGCAGCCACCAAGGCTTTCCTGAACCCAGTTGGCGGATACCAGGAGTTCGACCTCGGAACGAGCTATCCGTGGGGGTTCGCCATGGGAGGGGAACTGGGGGTGGAAACGGGAGGGGCAACGGCGATCAAGGGGGCCTATCTTGTATCTATCGATGTTGGTGTCGGTGATGCCGGCTTCTCCATTCCTAGCACGGAGGTTGGATTGACGTGGAACAGTACCGCGTTTGGAGGCTGGCTGGCGTGTAATATCACGGGGCAGACGACCGGGTTGCAACTGTTCTGGTTGAACAGGACGGAAGAGAGGAGAGGGAAAGCGCCGGAGGGCTGTGAGAGGGTGAAGCTGGCGCCGGAGTATTTTTAGAACGTCCTCTGTGAGGGGAGGCGGAAAGGACAAGGTAAGCAAATAGTCGAAAGGAGAGGGTTACAGGAGGAAATTGGGATGATAATAGCAAACTGTGTAACAGGTATGGCAAAATAAAAGCAGGGATAATCAAGTAATACGTTTCGGGGGGTTTTCCCGATCTTAGAGCATGGCATAGCCCGAAGAAAAAGCACAATCCAATCACCGCTGATACTACCAGTGACAGACCACGGACACGACATTATACTTTGAGCATGTCTTGTACCATGGCGCCAAAGTCCATAGATAAGTATAAGTCTTCCACCAAGCTGTCCTCGAGCATAGCATCGGTCCAAAGCTGGCCCTGGTACTGCTCATGAATGTATCATTCCCAAGTGTCCGACATACAAAATCCCGAGATCTACATCGCGCACAACGGCGGTGGCGACACCAGACTTCGCGACAGCTACGCCCGGCGTACCACTTCCATGTCCTGGCATACAAAAAGTAGTGCGAACCCGCCGCCACCGGGACTCATCTTCCTGTACATGCTCGAGTGCCCAGACGTCGGCGGGGATACAATTTCCGTCAACACGGCGGAGGCGTACAAGATACTTTCCCGGCCTTGTGCGGAGAGGTTGCAGGGGTTGAAAGCTGAGCATAAAGTTGGCACGGGTGTCAGTAGTGTTCTCCCTGTCGTACGAACGCACCTCGTCACGGGAGAGAAGTGTCTCGTCGTCAACCAGCTATGTCCGTCATTGTCAGATCAGATCAGCTTCCCCGTCCCCCATGCTGAAAATATGGTCTCACTTGCCTCAAATACTACAATCATCATTGGCTCCAAGAAGGAAAAAAGGGACACTCTGCTCAAGTTCTTCTTCGAGCATCTCGCCTATTCCCAACAATGTCAGGTCCGGGTTCAGTGGACAGTCCGAGGACACTGTCGTCATCTTTGATGTAAGTGTGTCTCTCATCCCACTCCACATCCTGATTTTGCCGCTCCATCTAGGAAACCATACCCGAATGCAAGCTGACTATCCCTCAAGGAACAGAGCCACGGCGCACTCGGCCATCTTTGACTTTGTCGACGTACGTACCGCCTCTAGTCTTTCCCTCCCTCCCCCCCACACAGGAATGATGGCTGTAAGACCAACGCCGCCATCTCGCACGGCTGTCTCCGGCAGCGGAGAAGCTTTATGAGACGACACTACCCGAAACAGCGGGAAAATGAGGAGGATTCTTGCCCTCTGTGGCGGTAATGGAGCCATGAGTGTTGCTCGGGCGGAAGCTTCGTCCAATATGACCTCGTCAGCGAACAGTTTTATATGCATATGCGTGGCTCTAGCTTTGAGCTGACTTGCTGTACGGATGCCAAAGCTTTCGGTTATAGGATTGTTATGTTTGTGTTTTGAAAGCTCCTATTAGAGTACCTGATGAGTATATATTATCATAAGTCGGCCAAGATGCGTCCTCCAACTCAAAATATGTTCAAAATCGTAGGCCTAAACATTACGCGATCGCTTGGCATCCGCAGCGATTGATGATGTGCTATTGTTGAGATGCCATCCATGCGCTAATTTCTCAGTTGTTCCACTCACACGGCCGGCAACCCGCCGAAGTACCCGTTTACAGAAGCCGATGGACGAACAGGGTGGCCAAAGCTCGTTCGCTGTTTCGCCCACTTTACTTTATTCCTTTCACCACCATTTGGACTTCCCCAACTGGCCCACGCCCTGAGAGACTCCAGAGGCTGCAGCGCCACCCGCAGCAGCCGCAGCACCGCCGGCAGCGGCACCAGCTCCCATAGCACCCTTGCCAGCGTCTCCAACCGTACTCGCAGCCGTCGACGCATAGCCCTTGCCATTCTCGTCTTTAACTTTTCCTTCCCCACCGGAGTTTGAGCTGGCTGAGTCGGAGTCGTGGGATTGCGAGACCTTGATGGTGCTTTCGGTATCTTCGGAGTCGGCATCTTCTTCGGTTTCGTCGACGAAGGGATCTTCGGGTCCTTCTTTCCTTGGGCTTTTCTCTTCGGGCTTGCTACCTTCTTCCTGTTTTTCTTCTCCAGGTGTCCGGAATTCCTCTTCTTCTATCGTGTCATCATCCGACTGGCTTCGGTCTTCCTCATTTTCCTTGCCCATTCCATTTCCAGGCTTCTTGTCAGGGACATCTTGCTTCTCCTCTTCCCCCTTAGCCCGGTCACCACCGACCATGTTTGCCGCTCCGCCAACGCCTTTGCCAAGGAAAGAAGCCCCAGAGGTTACACCTGAAGCTGCGCCGCTGGCCATTTCGCCGACTTTACCGCCGGCATCTCCTCCTAGACCCTGCGAATTGGGAACATATTTCTCTGCTTCAGCGGCAGCATTGCCTACGGTTGATCCAGCCTGAGAAGCCGCAGCTGTAGCAGAAGTAGCGGTGTCGCTGAGTGCAGCAGCAACGTTTGATGGGGCGGAGGCTGGGTCAGTGGTAGACTCTTCAGCTTTGGACTTCAAGTCGTTGGCGGTACTGGTTCCTTCGGAAGCTGCTTTGTGGGCAGCGTCGGCCGCTTCTTCGGTCTTCTCTAGCGCCTCTTTGGGCGTTTCCTTATCATCATCGGCCGCTTGTTGGGCCTTCCCCGCGGTATCCTCTGCGGTTTCTTTAGCATCATCTACTGTCTTCTCAACCTGTTTCGTCGTCTCCTTTGGTATTTCCTTAGCATCCTCGGTGGCTTTCTCGACTTTCTTCTCAGTGTCTTTGGGAGCTGCCTTCGATTGAGAGGGGGTGGAACCCCCATAGCCAAAGTGGGGAAGATAGCTACTATAGCCCGCAGGTGTCTTCTCTGCGTCAGTCGCCTTGTCTTGAGCTTTAGCCGCGGCTTTGCCGGCTGACTCGGTCGCTTGGTTTGGCACCTTCTCAGTGGCTTCCTTTGCTTTCGCCTGTCCACTCGGAGCTCTCTTAGGGGCTGCCGGCTTGGTTTTCTTTGAGGATCCTCCAAGACCAAATGATGGGATGTAGCTCGTTACACCACCAGCTGCGTTTGCGGCTGATTTCGTAGTCTCACTAGCCTGCTTCTGGCCTTTCTCAGCTAGCTTTGTTGGGTCCGTGGCAGCATCTCCGACATTTTTCTGAGCGTCGCCTGCGATGTCACCCACCTTATTGGAGGCATCGCCCACTTGCTTCTTCGTTCCTGTTGTTGTCCTTGACAAAGTCTTTGAGGGGTCTTTTTTAGCGTCTTGGGAAGTCTGTTTTAGATCCGTGGCCGCTTGACTTGGGTCTTTTGTTGCCCCAGCAAGCTTCTTCTGCGCGCTCTCTGTCCTCTTCAGTGCAGGTCCCGCCAGCTTCCCCAAAGATCTCCTTGCACTATCGGTCTTCTTCAAGGGTGGCTTGACGGCCTTACCAACACCCTGCTGAAGCTTTCCCGCTTGCTTCCCGACGTCATCGGCAGTTTCTGTTCCCTTGCCTGCTGCTCCAAATCCTGGAATGTAGCTGGTGGGTATATAGCCCGCAGCTGTTGCAAGATAACCAGTCGGCGCTGCGGATATTGCTGTGGATTGTGCTTGAGTGAGTTTGTCATCGGCAGCGACCTGGCCTTCGACGCCGCCAGAGCGAGATAGATACGTGGCTTCCTTGGCGCGCTGCAGCAGTGTTTTTGTGGCTGCATCGACGGTCTCATTGGCAGTTTTGCTGGTATCAGCAACTGCGCCTTGAGGGTTTGCAGCTGCGTCCTTGGCGTCGCCTGTAGACGGAACTGATGGGCGCGAAATGTATAGCTGCTCGACGGCCCACTGCATGAGGCCTTTCTGCGTCTTCGCCTCAACCTCCTTCTCCATGGCCGTGGCTTCTTTGTCCGCGTCTGCATCGCTGATATTCTTGACCTTGTCCGAGGGCTCTCTCCCGTCAGAGGATTCTTTACCATCCAGTCCAATGCGCTTTCCGTACTTATTGTAAAGTTCTTTACCGAGTCCTTTGCCACTGGCTTTCTCGTACACTTCTCCGGCTTGCTTAACGTACGTCTGCTTCTTTTCTTCTTCCACGATTTTCTCGAAGGCCTCTGCTTCTTTAGCGACTTCTTGCTTGTCGAGATCTTCAAAGCCGATTTTCTGCAGGATACTACCTACCAGGTACCTACAGCAGAATTGGGAGTCAGTATTCTGCTTTTGGGTCAAAACCTCAGATGCGAGATAATGCTAAGGGATGGGAAGTACTCCTTTACCCTGAGGCGAGACTTGCAGCGCAGATAGTGATATCGATCTGGGCGAATTATCAAAAGGTACGTACCTGTACTTTAGATGTCCGTTGACTGTCTCGCTGACATCGACATTCTCCACTCCTAGAAGGCCAGAGACCGGCATAAGACCCGCGACTCCGTACTGGATGCTTGAGGTCCGGTAAAGGAAAGCCAAGATGTAGTCGTTCTCTGAATAGACATTGACTAGTCGACCACTCACAGCTGTGCGCATAACGCGCCAGGTGCCAACATCGCTAGGTATGGGGGATCCGATCAGTACTGCGGATTCAACCAGTCCAAAAGCCTTTCGCTTGGCCAAAGAAGTCAGGCAGGACCAAATAACGCGTGCTCCCAACGAATATCCTACAAGGGTCACAGGTCGTTCGCCTTGGGCGCGGTTGATGAGAAGGTTGGCAAGCACTTTTCCAGCTTTGTCGGCGCGAGTTTTGGCCAGGCTGAAGGGGTTGTCAACCACACGGGCGACCTTCACTATGGCCATAGGCCACATTGCTGACATCATTTCGGCGAACACGGTCCGCTGGATCATGGCAGACTGGGCATATCCATACGCTGCGCTGGAAACCATAGTGTCAATACTTTGTCCTAGATTCATTAATGCCTCGAGCTCGAAGCGGAGGGCAAAGACTTCGGCAGTAGGCGTCAGGACGCGCCATGGTGTCACAACCTCCTCTTTCTCGAGTAACCAGCCAGATATCGCGATGATTACGCGGAGACGGCGAGTGTCGGTAGCAGCTTCGATGGATTCATCATGCTCTTTACGTTCACCATGGACTGGAAGGAAGGCAAAGTCTTGCACCTCTGCTGAGATATTCTGCATCATTTCGCCGGTCATACGCCCTCCGTAAGCTCCAAATAGACTGCCGACTAAATAGGTGCTGCCAGCGACGGTGCCCAGGTAGCCTGCTGCAGCGGTAGCTCCGAGACCGAGGCCCGTCATCACGCTGCCGACACCTGCTGCCATCTGTTTGCATCGCACTCGATCAGAAAATTATCAATCAAGATACTGGGGACGGTTAGCTTACCATTGGAGCAGCCATGCCGCCTGAAAGCCCCACGACGGCTGCGCCGGCTATCTGGGCAAGCCTTATCTTCCACTTGCGCGAGTTCTCGCTTTCCTCTGAGGTCTTTTTCAACAGCTCCTGGTCTGCTTGAATTTGCTTAGCAGCTTCCAACAAGCCCTTTGCCGTCTTCTCTTCGTCATCGCGCAGGTAGTTAAGACCAAGCTTCATACTTGATGTTAGATAAAGTAGTAGCACCCGTGATGCAGCGTTGTAGTGCTCCAAGCTCAGAAGTATCAGGAGTATCGAGTGGAGGACAAGTGTACGTTTCTGCATAGGCAATTTCGTAAGTGGTGTTTGGATCCGTGGGAACAATTGTTCGAGTTTTGGCGGTCTATACTCTCCCTGCTTTGCGCCGGTATCGATTTTCTGGACTGGTCTTCCTTCTGTTATTGGGGTAGTCGTAGTCTTTGATCCCTGCGTTGAGGCCTTTGCCTTCTGCTTCGACGTAGTCTCCTTCGAATTGACCGCTTCACCCACGCGCTGTATGACAACCTCTCGCCAATCATCGAACCATTGGAGGGCATTCTTCTTCAACTCCTTGACCTTGGGTGTCGCAAGCTCTTTCTCACGTTCCTCGCGCGCCTTGTTTTCCTTGTCGTATTGGCTGACATCAACAGTGCCGGGGTCATAGTCTATGTTGGCGAATCTTTCTTCTTCACTCTGGCCCTCTTGACCGAGGTCTTTCAATGTAGCTGCAGCATCAAAGTTGCTCTCGATCATCTTCCGCATAGTCTCAGAAATGCTTGCAATAAGTAGAGTGAGATCTGCCCGTTCAGACTCTGACAAGAAAGACTTTAGATCCTTCTCCTCCTCCGCGACTTTGTGCGCCGGCGTATCCTCATCCTCCACTTTGTACGCCGGCTTATCCTCATCCTCCTCTTTTGCATCTTGTCGTTTTGTACCGGCAGCTGTAGACTTCGCAGCAGATTCTGAGGACTTGCGCGGTGCTAAGGATGGCCTTCTTGATTGAGAGGCTGGTGATCCATCGCTTGTCTTCTTTGGGCCTAGCTTTGGAGGCTTTGGTTTCTGGTCGGCGCCTGTTGGATTGTTCGCGGATGATGACTCTTTGCGTGGTGCCACGGAGGGTCTGTGTGCTGGCGACGGCGCAGGAGATTGGTCGTCAGTCTTATTAGGAGGGAGCTTAGGAGGCTTTGGTTTCTGGGCGGTGTCCGTTGGCTTGGCGGCCGGTGCGGATTCTTTGCGGGGGGCCGCAGAGGGTCTCCGTGCTGGGGAGGGTGCTGTAGTTTCTGTTTCCTTGACGGCGGCCGTCGACGCCTTGCGAGGTGCCAGAGAAGGCTTCCGATCCGGAGCGGCGTCTGTAGCTTTGACAGCAGGAGTCGATCCTTTACGCGGTGCTGCAGACGGCCTGCGTGCTGTAGAAGGCGCTGGGGACTCGGCGGGTTTGGTGGCAGGAGTTGGGGCCTTGCTGGGTGCTAAGGATGACTTGCGCTCAGGAGCGGCATTGCTAGGCTTGGCCGCAGGGGTCGACGTCTTGGGAGGTGTCTTAGCAGGGTTCGGTTTCTGCGAAGGCGTGGAAGCCGCATTGCTCTGTTTGGGTGGGGGCTTGGGTACATCCTTTTGTGGTTGGGCAGTAGCTGCCTTGGCTGGTGTAGTGGACGGTTTGGTCGTGGGAGTTGAGGACTTAGAGGGCGCTGTTGTAGGCTTCTTCGGGGCGGTCGTCTGCTTGTTTGCTGTGGGGGGAACATTCTTCTTCTTAGGAGGCAGTTTAGGAATCTTCTTCTTCTGTTCCGGCATCGTTTAATGGAATAATATTTGGTGGTGAAATATGCCTGTGGCTGGTGAAGCTGCAAGACTAAGAGTATCCAAAAGGGGATTGTTTGCCTTTCCAAGGAAGTGGCAGTGCGGGGTTGCTAAGCGCGTGACGCGCCTGCCAAAATGATATCATACAACAATCTACATGTACTATCACGCCAAGGCCAGCAGCAAATCCATCTTCTCGCCTTTCCAATATCTACAGTCTATTTACTTTGTCTTCCCTATGAAAAGAGAGACTGTAGAAGAGCGTTGCTTACTACTCCTTTGCTTAATCTATCCTAGGAAGTCACTGATCTCACCATGGGTGTGTGCAGCCAACATAGCAATGGCTTATCTTCCTACTGTTGTACTATCTCGACCGATCCAAGGGAAGATTGGAATAATTGGGATCAATAGTCGGGCAGCTCCCGTACCCTAACGATGCCTCGTCTGGTCGTTTAATCCTGGATATACTGAGAGAATTTCGGAATTCTCCGTACACCAAAAAGTGACTGCGTTCGAAAATGCCGTAGAAACGGCACCAAACAGGTTGAGATGTTTCCGTGACTTGGATTTCTAAGCAACCCTTTCTTGCTCCCTTCACTGCGACTTGTAACTTCTCAAGGCACTCTTACGTCAGTGGAGAATCCAGCCTGAGCACATACATTTCGATCTTCAATATCTTTTCCAGAAACTTCTGTTGCGATTGGCTGGTTCGATACGATAACTTGCCGCTCGTTGATACAGAACGTAGAGGTTTCGACCTTCAGTCCTCAAATGTTCAACAAGTGGATCATCTCAAGAACCCCTGTTAACTTCCTCTGGTCGTGGTGCGACCGTTCATTCCTATTTCGGGTGCATAAGGTGAGCTAGGTCTCTCGAATGAGACAAGGTTGCGCCTAGTTTGCTTACATTGGTAGGCTGACCGACACTACAATGCCGAATGAATTCATAGCGGGCAAGATTGTCCACACGAACCTCTCGACTGCGGTGCGAAAGACCTCGCTTCTATGCTAGCTGTTATTGGCATTGAATGCCATGTCTATCTCTTCTTTGCTGATGAACAGATACCGTTAGCTGCTAAATTTTGTTGAACGCAGAATCCGATCTCAGCGCATGGCCAGTGTCAGAGCAAGGCTCGCTATTCAATTCAATAGCCAACAATCGGAATTTCTTATGAAATTTTCTTCGTCGGGATGGCTCGGAAATTTCAACGATAATGAAGAGCAGGACTAGGATGGGAAGGGGGGGAAAGACCCCACTGGGCGTGACCTGGAAGCCTCGATTTCGTATAGCGTGTTTGTGAACAGGAAGGGAACTGACGGAATATGTTTTCGTAGTAGGAATAGAAGCCTCTCCCAACATGAGGAGTAGCTACCTATCTCGGAATTGTCGTTCTCGTTGTCGTTCTACTGTCACCTTGGAAAGCTCAGCCCTAATTGTCTTCTGTTCTGTCGACGCTTTGAAGTTCCCTACGCTCCTCTGAGACCAAGCCTTATCTCCAATTCCAAGCAATAACCCAACGAAACTGTTTCAAGAATGTACACGATCAGATCCATACCCGGAAAGGGACAAGGTATGTTTGCCAACAAAGATATCAAAGCAGGTAGTCGCATACTCGCCGACGAGTTGCTGCTCTCGATTGCAGAGAGCAAGATAGATGAAGGCATTGGGGAAAGGATAAGCGTGTCTCTTCACGGTCTGCCTCCGGAACAGCAGCAGCAATTCGAGACATTGCACTGCCCAGATCACCCCACCTGGACGCCTGCGGTGAGCAGATTCCTAGCGAACTGTTTTGAGGTGGAAGCCCCGGGATCAGGCATATTCTTGAAAGCTTCACGCATCAATAACTCTTGTTTTCCGAATGCTTTTTTCTCGTGGAACCAAAATCTGCACCGCCTGACTGTTCACGCTATGGTGGATATCCCCATAGGTGACGAAATCACAGTCTGCTACATCTTTCCATTCTACTCTCTGCAAATTCGCCGGGACTTGTTCCGCGAACACTACGTGTTTGAGTGCGACTGTCCAGCTTGTCACGTTGAAACCGGAATTGGCCGACGCGGTGAGTTGCGTCGTCGAAGGATGGAAACCCTCTATATGGCCATCGATAAAACCAATGATGGTCCCAGCAACAACGACCAAAAGGAATTGGAAATGGTCCTTGAGTTCATCAGATTGGCAGAGGATGAACGATTGGACGGCCAATTCCTCTCGTGCATATACAGTCGTGCAAAGAAATGTTATGACGATCGCGGTTCAGAGCAATTGGCGCTGGAATATGCGGAGATGGAGGTTGAGACGAATATGCGACTCCTTGGCGACGACCACGCCGTGACGCAGGAGAGCGCGAGGGATTTGGATGAATTGAAGACTAGGCTGGCGATGGTGCAGCAAACGGAGGAGAACGGTGAGAACTTGGGGGCTTTGTGAAGAAAGACAGCTAAGAGCGAGGGCCGAAGTCTGGGCTGTTTATTGGTAGGGTTGAGTATGAATTGATGACATTGTCAAATAATTACGAGGATGGCAGGCCATGTCTCGGGCACCCTGTTGCATTCAAACTATTTGCGCACGCGTCTACGGGTTCTATCAAGTTTGCTAACACTGAGACACGGTTCCTGATTCTATGAAGCACCGTCATCACCATCCGAATTTACGCCGAATGAATGCTTGTCTCTGAAATAGGTACATCGTTCAAGGCCTGCAGTACTCTCATGCCCAGTCTTATTCCCTGTGTAAGAATCGTGGGTCGAGAATATCCTTCGATGCAACCATTGTTCGGTTTGCCTTCCTGCTAGTTTTGCTCGTGACAGCCAATGCGCAATCTTTCAGGATCTTAAGCATCAGCGGAAATGTTACCGGCATGACACAAAATGTTACAAATACCGGCCACCTAGCGGCGTTGGATGATAGTAGTCGCTATCCTTTTCGTGAAAGGATTTCCAGCTTGTCATCTTTAGAATTTGAGGCACTTCGGCAGGGGTCATTCCGATGTTGTTTTCGCTGTTCTGCCTTTCGGAAACTCTTATCGCAGAAGTGGAGATAACGACACAGTCCTCTTTCCCAAAAGGCTAAACCCGTCTCCTCTGTCCCAGTGCTCGCAATTCAAGTAGCACTTGCTGCTTTCGTGCCATCATTGCTATTCGGACCTACGTCCCGAGACTCTGTTCCGATGACTGCCGATGGATCGTCAGACTTCAAGGGTCAAAAACGCAAAAACTTGGGCCGAGCCTTGACCGTTGTAGAAAACGCCATGTACTTCTGCGCTGCAGGACTAACTATTTTCGGTAACCCTGGCCTCCCGTTTCAAGTGCTGCAGAGACTGCATTATCAGTGTTGGTATACCAGCAACATGCCATCTCAGCCATCTTTCGACGTCAGCATCCATTTCCCCCCGGGGTCGAGTGCTTCCTTAGCACCCCCACCTAATTCGGTGCTCTGTACTAATACGAGTTGCAGCCTGCAAGGTTCATCCGCTCACAGCAGATTACACAACCGAATCAGGCAAGGCCAGTAACAGACGTTCGACGAAAGGATGTTATCCGTGTCAATGAACTTGCTTATGTAGCCATTGAGAGGACTCTCGTATCGAGTGAGGAGCCGGACTTTCCATACGTCAGGTTTCGAGGTCGCAGCGTCTTCGATGATATCGAGTGAGAAGTCACTGTTCGCTATGACAAAGAATGTCGAAGTCGGAACGTTTACTAAAACTGCAATTGTCTTCGATCGTGTATTGATAGTCCTGGGGTTTCCCTTTTGCATTTGCGGTGGTTGCATACAGGACTTCCTTCAAGGTCAAACTACTGGATGTCGACATATTACTTAAAGACATTGGACTTCTGAGCACGCCGTTCGAGCTGAGGTTCTATAGCGACTATCTTGGTGAAGGAATGCGCGAGGCTCACGAAAAAGGCTGTCGAGCACGAAAAGAAGCTGAATCTGTGCCTTCCCTAATCGTGGAATTTGCGGAGACTATCGAAACATTAGTAGTGAAATCAAGGGACTTGTGGGGGTTTAAAGTAGTCCTGAGGGTGGAGTTCATTGATTCTGATGGAGATCCTGAATTGATGGAACTCGGACGACGGGCCAGTATTGGACAGTAACGCCAAATGGTGAGGGCGGAGTATCATTAGATGGTTGTGGAATGAACGTTGAGCCTGTTGTCCTGAACCTTGTGCTTCGATGTATCAAGCAGCGCGAGAAGCTTAGGAGGATTGATTCGTCCGCAAGACCGCCCGCCCAGCTCAGCCCTGCGAATTACAATGGCGCACTCTGTCGAGTAATGTCGCATCCTACTGCTTCATCATTCATTTAATTGCCACGAATTGTCAAACAGATAGTCTTCGTCATCGACAGGTAACAGCTAAGACCAATCCGATTCACGAAGCTCAAGAACGTTAAGACAACATAGATAATACCAGCTCTCTTCCGATTTAAGTCTCCGTTTGAATGCAATAAAAGGGGAATAGACCTTCGGCCATCAGATGCACTCGTCAGTATCTTCAGGACCGACTGGTATATGTCGTAAGATCATTGTGCTCGACGCTCTTGTAGCTGAACATCCTGAGCCTCATTGTTTCTTCTTTTGTTGGCGCCTTTGTTCTCGGCATTGTCTCGACACTTTCATTAATACTCTCAGAGTTTGCTCAATTTCAATTTGCTCAATTTCTTCACCACACATCAAAGAATCACGAGACTTCTACTTACTGATTACTCGTTACCGATTATAGCGAGCAGAATGTCGTCTATGCCCGACCAAGCAGGCTTGAAATGGGTGGAGGGTACATGGGGCGAACAACAACCGCGATGGACCAAGGAGCCATCGCTGGATATCGTCCTCCAAATTGCTTGCCATCACCTTGGCTTGGCTACTAGCCCAGAGACCACTATTGCTTTCCTCAGCCAGGGTGGATTCAACAAACTCTTCAAAATTACCTGCTCAATTGGCAATTTCGTCATGAGGGTCTCCTTGCCTGTGGATCCCTTTTACAAAACCGCTAGCGAAGTGACCACCCTTGACCTCATACAGCACCACACTACTATCCCTGTGCCAACTGTGATCGCACATGATGCTTCCAATGAGAACGAGCTCGGCTTTGAGTGGATACTTATGGAATACGTGTCTGGAATTACGCTCGATGAGGCTTGGACCACGATGACATGGCTTGAGAAGTGCAAGCTGGTGGAGAGAATTGTCGATATATCATCGCAGCTGTTCCGGCTACGAAGTGAAACCATTGGCAACATATACAGAGCAGATGATCCAGTCCCCAACATTTCGGATCGGTCGATTCCAGATGATCATGGAATAAGTTCGAAATACATGATGGGTCGAATCGTTTCCATGCCCTTCTTTTGGGCAACCCGCTTGTCACTGGATATCCACCGAGGCCCGTTTAAGTCTAGCACGAATTGGTTGATGACAAGACTGGCGCTTCTGAAACATGACACTGAGCAGCCACTGCCTTCCGACGCCGACTCCGATGACGGAGAAGAGATAGACTTGAATAGGGAAATGATCACACTGCTTCTTCAATTTATGCCGCACTTCTTCCCGGCTGACGTGGAAGAAAGTGAGGGCTTTGGCCTCCGTCACGATGACATATCACGCCGGAATATTATGGTCGAACCTTATACAGGAGAGCTCACCGCACTCGTTGACTGGGAATGCGTTTCGATGGTACCACTGTGGAAAGTCTGCCAGCTCCCGTGGGTTCTAATATCACGCGAACGTACAACCGAACCTCAAAAGCATCGTTACACACACGAAGGCAACGAAACCGATGAGCTGTACTTTATTCATCTCGAGGAGTACGAAAAGACATGTCTCCGACAGCTATTCTTCGAGCATATGGCAAAGCTCGAGCCGGCCTGGATGGAAGTACATCGCCTGTCGGAAGCAAAAGCAGACTTTGACTATGCGGTTGAGAATTGCGATTGTGAGATACATCGCAAGCAGATCAGGACATGGTTGGAGAATGTGGCTGCTGGTAAAGAGCAGGATAGTCTTCGAGCTTTGATGTTGAAATGAAATTGCAGCGTACATACCTGAGCTTAGACCAGATGCCTTAGGTTCGCTGAAGATTTCGGTCATACATGATCTTAGCGCAAGGAACATCAGCTTTGATTTGACCCTTTTTGAGGCATCTTTCTCGTTCGGAACGTCTCCACTTGGTACCTTAGCGCCACATCCCTAGACAGACGAATGCCCTTATAATTTGAGATACCTCTAAAGATTACTGAAATCAATCAGAATGTTATTTAGGTTCGGTCTTCACGCTTTTGATGTAATTCTCAGGTACTTGCAATTCGTGACCCTCTCGGTATGCGACCTTCATGATCACGGTGGAGTCACGGGGCGTACGACCTTTAAGATACATTCGTTCTGTAGGTGTGCGACCAACAAGCCACCGTGGTCTTTGCTTGAATTTATGCCGAGTAGGTGTGTTGCCATTCTGCAACATTACTTTGCTGCTTGGAAGGCTCAAGCAATCACGAATAAACGAATTTATTTGGGTAGCAAGCCGACATTGCTTGTTGCTTTGCGCTCAAGGGATCGAAGTCATCATGATGCAGTTCTGAAAGCTTGAGCAGATTTAGAGTAATAGACAGTACCGAAATGGACTTTTACTATTGTGAGACCAATTTTGCTCGTCTAATGTTACCTCGGTCGTAGACTTTTGGGATTCGGCCTACATTAGTGTAGTAAGCTGCGCTCATACAAGCCTTGAACGGACATGAACTCTCGATTGGACATGCCTTTGTAGCTAAGCTTCGGTCAGATATCTGGGGTTCGCTGACAATTTTCCGTCGCTTAGCAAGGTCGCCCTGCCCCCAGCCATCGACATTAGATGATCCTATTCTTCTGCAGTTCCGCGCGAACTTCCGCAGGCGTCCAAGCCTCTTCTTTGACCGGCACCAAGGCGATGGAGAGCGACTTCCCTGCAAAATCTCTTCAACGAAGTGATGAGGGTCCCCCTGTTGATCTGCACGTGCAGGTTGTAGCATCGCGGATCTTTAGTAGTGACCGTTTGCATGTCTAAGCGGAAATTGCGGGTCTTGTAGACCGTAGTCTCAATCGATGGAAAGCCCGTGAGTTTTGAGTCTGGGATATTCGCAATGAACTCTTCGAGTTCGTTCTTAGCTTTCCCCATGGTTTCTGCCTGTGACCGATCGGTGCTGATACCATACTGAAGAGCGTCTCTTCTGCTATTTAAATAGCTATCAGGGAGTGACGAAAGTGATGCGGATCCATCTTAGTGTTGAGGAGGACCGTGTTGGAGTTGGTGTCATTATGCCTATTGTGCGACTGCATTGTGCACCTGCCGACCAAGTGACATAAATAAGGGCTTCTCATAACGTAGTAGCAATAATGCTCAACACTTCACACTGCAGCTTTTTCTGGAAGCTTACCCAAATTTTGAAACTTCTCAATGCATGCTGGTGTTAGGTTCGCGATGACTCTCAGCAATAGCTTGCACGCTACCGAGTTTGGAAATTCTCCCAATTCTGTCCTTGAAGCTAGGTGCGGCGCCGGAGCCTGAGCCCCGTCCATTGCAACCTTTTATATTGGAGCTCAAGTGGTGACCATGAATCCGACACCCCCCCGCGCTTTGTAGCGCTCCTCTAAATCTCATAATCTTGAAAGCTAAAGCCAGAGGAGTTGAATTCTACTCACGGCCGCATGTTCGCTTCAGGTACCCATGACATTGGAAAAGTCTAGGACTTGATCTGGAGGGGCTGATTATCTCGTCGAGAGATAGGGCTGCGCTGATTGATCGATAGAGCGCGGAAGAATGGGTCAATATAGCTAATACGTTGGTCCGTATGGCACGGAAGACTGTGAACGCCCCAAGCAAGATTTGGGTTTTTAGGACAGTCATCATCTTCAGTTCTGTGTTGATGTTGAAATTCAGTCGCACGAAACGGGACTGAAGGTTTTGACTGCGCTTATCTAGAGCGAGTGATGGTGGCGGTTGGGTGAGTCCTTTGATTTGTGACACTTGAAGTTGTTTGTTCTGTCAACACACTGTTTCTCTGTGTTGGACCACTTGACGCTTCGCATAAATATTTCCTCGTCTCTTACTCACTACTTCCTATTTCAAACCCCAATCGCTCGGTATTCATGACCACGAACGGTGACATTGATCGTCACACCACTGAAATATCGATATTACCACAGTGTCAGGGCCTCCACTCCTTCATAAGTTCTCGTTTCCCCATCTACACAATGTCCAGCACCACAGCCAAGACTCCACAGGGCGACCCAAAGCATGGCGGCGCTCTCTTCCGACTTCCTCGTGAGATTCGAGATGTCATCTATCGACGTCTGGTCAAAGGCCGCTATCTAACCGACAAGCGATCAGCCCACAGTGAGGGTTCCGACAAGGAGGGATCCGACAGCGAGTCAGATGTCGACCAGAACGCCGGGCCAAACTTATCCATCCTTCGAGTCTCAAAGGCCGTCGGCCATGAAGCTGTGGAAATCCTGTATTCGGACAGTGTCTTTCGATTTCCCATCGACTTCAAAAGCCCTAGAGACGATGACGAGGACGGTAAGCTCTTTCACCTCAATCACCTGAAGAAAGTCACGCCTATGATGAAGAATGTCTACCTCGATGTCGACGGCGCGTCGATTAGATGGGCTGGTTGGTTCGAGACTCGGTATAGTCCTATGTGGGCGCGGAAACTTGAACTAAGTTTCGGGCCTACCATCGACCTCTTTGGAGATGTAGACATCAAGCGTCGAACTTTACACATCAGAATGTCGGAATGCTGCGCAAGAATGCTCGAGGGGACGTCATTCGGCACCATTTGCCAACGACTCAAGAGTTTAGTCGGCTTCAGCGTTGCTACTGTCGAGGTCATGCTCTCGCGTGACGTGCCCCAAGCGCCTGCCTGTTTCGGATTCAATAACGCGGAACAGACTAGACGCGCTCGCGACTTGATGCGCTACATCACACATAAGATAACAAAAGAGCTAGAACCCGCCTTCGGACCCGCCATCTCTGGTCTTCAGTTGGATGCTGGCAACATGCCTATTCAAAAGAGAAACTTCTCCGAGGGCGGCGATACCACTTTGGTCGGGTTTCTTGAATTCCATCCAGGCAAGCATTCGGTCCAGGAATGCACCGCGGAAGAGGAGAGATTGCAGTGAGGCCTCCAGGGGTGTATCTATGGGATCATGAAAGACACGGTCTCATGGAAGGTATGGACCATAGAGGCGATAGTGAATAGATAGCTTGCCTTGTAGCAAGAAGCTAAGCAAAATGTCATTCAGTGCTTTTATCTTTTCGTTATTTCCACCACGCAGTCATTGTGAGTGCAACCACCAAATCAAAGATCTCCACTCTCGTCCTTTTTTCCTCCCCAGACAGCCAACTCTCTGGCATCTGAATCCATCCATGTTTCATGCTTTTGAATATCTCTACGATCAACTCATCGCCTCTTCCCGCTTCCGCCACCTTCTTGACCCATATTTCGTCATGTTCTGACAGTGAATCAAGCTCCGGTAATACGAGCAGCATCCTTGCTTGGTCGTGCAATCCCTTTAAATCTGCTAGGCCAGGCGATGCACGCGGATGACCTGCTTGGTCTCGTGGCAGGTATGTTGGCATGAGCATGTCATTTACGTCGGCCCCGAGGCCTTTAAAAACGGGGAGCCCAGCTGGTCGTGTCCGCTCAGATGGGAGCTGACGGCAATCGAACGAAGGGTAGAAGAGGAGTAGCGGTATGGGGTGGGGGAAGTCTGAAGGGAACCGACTTGACCAGTCCGACTTCAACTGTGGTGGTGATATCGAAAGAAGGAGATTTAGTGCTATGTTACCGCCACTGCTGAAGCCTGAGATGGCGATACGAAATTTATCGAGGTCGATATCACGCTTCAGCCGAAGTTGTTTATCCCCTTCGATCTTTTTGGCAACTGATTTCCGTAGCTCGGTGTAGCCGGGCGCCCTTGCATCTAGGACCGCGCTCAAAACATCCCCAGCATCTTCTAACGCTGCAGGATGCTGGCTCGCTGGTCCCATACAGTAGTCTACGGCCACAACAATGCAACTGAGCTCTCTTGCGAGCTTGGCGCGAAACGGGGTCTGTTCATGACAAGATCCAAGTACGAATCCCCCGCCATGGAAGTCAACGACCACGGGAAGGCTTCTGGCTCTGCCCTCATCAAGTATGTCTGGAACAAAGACATAGAGCGGGATAGTATATTTTGAGCGGGATGGCAGGTTCAGAAAGAAGGGATGTGGACCTTCTGGGGAGGTGATGCGCAAGAACTGAAGAGGGACGGCTCACGAGAGCCTTTCGCCATTGAATATCGAAAGGTTGAGACAGGAGATTTTTAGCTGACATGATGATGATGATGATGATGATGAAGACTTCTAACAATATTCGTTGCAGTTCTGTATATGAAGTAGTAAGTAGATTGAGTTACAAGTCAATCAATCCACACTTTCGACGTCACGAGTATGGCACCTCTCAAGCAGTGTAAAGTCTTGGCATGAGGATCCAGTGAGGTTTGCACTAGTGCATTCCGGGCTAGCGCTTGGCGTAGCCCATAAACTTCAATGCCACTGGCAACTGTTACCACCAAGTCCCCTCTGCAACTGTCTCCTGATCCTGATACCTGCGTGTAGTGCGATCGGAACCAAGGTGATGCTGACTGCGATGACCACTTGAGCAACTTGCAGCGGCAACAAAGTCCGCCCAAGACGGTTCTGTAAAATACCAGCGCTTTGTTTCTTGATCCCTGCTTTGAAGCCATCGATCAGCTTGCAACCTCTCCATCGCTGACAGGTTAGCATTCGGCGCTATAGCGCCTTCTTCAAAAGACATGTATCTTGCCCCTGTTGTCAACTTCATCCTTGAAGCTATTCCCCCGAGGTAGACCGTATTAACAGAGCCGAGCTCCCAATGGGAACTGAGATTCTCTGACAGATATAAGATTTAGCATTTCACTGTATGTATTGGCGACACTTACGTTGGGACGGTCGTGGCTCAGCAGAGTGACTTTACGATATCACTTTGAAATTTCTTGTTGGACTCCGAAGACCGCGAAGTACACACCCTCTACTTACGTTTAATATGTCGACTGTAAGTATAGACTTCAACCTCCCATATATTGATTTTAGCGACTGACCGACGAGCGCAGAAATGCCTTATCAATGCACCAAGTTTTACATCTCGAATGGCCACTCGTGGGGGGCTTTTGGAACTAGACTCAAACGCAATAATGAACTTGGTCTCGGTCGATGGATGTTCGAGTGCTCGCAAAACGTTCGCTATGAGCAACATCCGTGCATTTTGCTTGCCTTACAAGCTTGATTCCTGGGTACGCTCTTCCAGTTCCCCCTCCTGGGTGATGTCGTCAGCAGAGAGGCCAATGCAACGTCGTCAGACTCGGCTAAAACATGTTAGGAAACCAGCATTCGGTCAAGGTCGGCATGAGACTGGTCAGGCGTTCTTGTTCACATGAAAGGGGAAGCTAGTACTCGGTGAAGGTCGGGGTGTGACTGGAAGCCGGTATTGTTGACACTTTAGGAGCGAACATTGCCGGCTTGAGGTCGAAGAGCACGGATGATGGACACTCTCGGCTTTCCACAAGAAGGGGACTCCTTACTACAAAAAGCCCCCAATCCCGCCTTCTGTCCCTCCTTCTTCTGATAATCAGCATGTCTACCTTCCTAAGGCCCACTTCCTTTCGATGATGACGATGGTACATCCATTAGATCTTCCTCCAACAGATTTGCCTCAAAGGTTCGCCCGCCTAGAACTGGATAGCCAGCATGGTGTTGCAAGCGAACAGACCGAAGCGGATCCCCAAAATTCGTCACCGCGCATGATCGCTACCGATGTTCGACAACAAGTCGGATTTCTGACCCTACCACGTGAGATCCGCGACCAAATACACCTCAACCTCATAGTCGTGGAAGATCCAATACAGTACGATACACATTTCAAAAGCTTGTCTCGGAGCGACACCTTCACGGACAGGGTGATAATGTGGATGTTTGAAGTTGCCTTAAACACTCAGATCGCACGAGAAGCCCGCGAGACTTTCTACCAACACAACACCTTCCTCATCTACACCCATGACATCCCGGCCCTCCTCAGTGCAAAGGTCCATACTGTGTCATTTGGAGCTACGGATGGTGTCGAGCCAACAACTCATAGCACACCCTTCGAGGCTGGCGCGTGGGTGAGGAAGCTCGCAGTCCGCGTGGGTTGGCATGCATCAGGCGGCTGGTTCCCCGATGAGTGTTGCCGAAATCCTGCCCATGATCTACGAACCTTGCTAAAGTCGGACGGCTTGCGAAGTGTGATCGTTGACGCCAAGTTCGGCGCTTGGTCCTATGGCTACCCGCAGGGTATCGGGTGGGACTTGTTGGAGGAGATGAACGAGAAATGGGGAAAGCAATTCAAGACCTACAACGATCAAACGTTGCGGAGTGACACTCATCGGTACACAAGTGACAGGCGGGATCTCAGCGATAGATGGCTGCTAGAGCATCAGCGTAGCCAAGTGGCAGAGGAGGCGAGTGCTGAGGGTGGAGACGATGAGCAAGTGGACGTGGTTGAGGGTGAAGAAGTAGAGCTTTGGGGAGAAGCTGAGACTGAGACTGAGGATGGGGATGAGGATGAGGAGGAGGAGGAGGAGGAGGAGGAGGAGGAGGAGGATGAGGGAAGGCGCGGAAAGATACTCCAAGAGAAGAGGAGGAAGAAGATCGAGAAACAGATGGGGACGAGGAGGAAGCAAGGTTGGCGGAATTGACTGGAATTACGCAAGAGCTGTATAAAGGTTGGTAGAAGAAGTGGACTATGTTGCTCGGGGCGCGAAGGCTGTAATCGTAGGAGTCAGATAGCTTAGTGTAAATGATTCAAATTGTAGGAGATCAAAGAAAGAGAGGTGAAGGACGGGAGGTGTCCCCCTGACTTGGGGTTTTCTTTCAGAAGCAAAGAATCATTTCAGTCCATGTCATCCTTTCATAAATGCTGCGCCAGTAACTCGTGAGCGATGCTAGGATGCTGAGGCGGCGCCAAAAGCCGCAAACGCCAAGAGTCCTGCCTTGAGACCTCGGATAACGCCCCGTTGATTGGGACATTGCGCTTACAACAGTAGAGCTGTTCGGAATGGCACCTGGCCTGAATCTTTATTTGAGGTACAAAGCCTCTACCATGCTTCCTTTCAGTTCAACGTCTCCGCTCTCAGAAGACAATTCTACACTACTACGTGTTCTATCTACACGTGACGAGCTCGATAAGGCTCTTGGCGAGCTCGCAGAACAGGCAACTTGCACCGAGTTGCTCCGAAATTACAGACCTAAGTATGCTAGAAACCGGATTACGATAACGTTCTGCAACCGTAACCGGGCTCTAAAGGAAGCCGTCTACTATGACAAGCCTACTTACAACGTATCATTGAGGATGTCAAAATCTGTTGGTTATTGGTTCACAGCCGCCTCCCAGCCACTTTGTCGGATCAGCCACCCTAACAGGATATACATCAGACGTGCCCAAGGTGGGCTTGGGCAGGATAATTCAAGCATTCTCATCATCGCATGTCTGATTTTTCGACAGTGGATGCCCACAAAATGAAGCATACAGCCGCTTCAACCAAACAACTGGTTCTAAGCCCTCCAGGCGCACAAATAAGGTCAAGCTCTGCTATCCGCCTCCTCGTCACATGGGATGAAGCAGGCAAGCGATCAAGAAAAGGGGTCAAGACATGCCGCTGTAAGTTCTACGCGTCCAGATAATTTTCAAGACCAGCAGACGAGAGATGAAACCGAGTATCCACAGTTCATGCAATGTTGTCGGATCAGCGAAGCTAGGTAACCATGCTCTCGGGACGGACACAGCTCCCACGGTCCCGGTTCGGCACCACCTGAAGCCCTTACTCAATGTTGGCTAATACTCCACTACATCATCCGGCAGTACCTTTTAACTGTGGCTCCGGTGTGATGGTAGAGGCAGGTTGCAAAGATGGAAATAGGAATGTTATATCTGCAGTAAGGAAAAAGACTTGTATACACGACATCAACATAAGAATAACACCCCGCGCGTCCTCAAAGCATCATCAATGCAGGAACATCTTTTTGGATGTACATCATGCATGTTATCAAATAGTTATCGTGCAGCATGCATAATCACGCTTCAAGGGTTCAACGATTCCAGCATGTCACTGGCTAGCCGTATTTTCTTATCTTCAATTTTGTCCCACACTAGGTTTGTCATTCATGTTAGTCGCCAGGCTTTTGTACGACCTTGTAAAATCTGTTCATGCATGCGAGCGATTCCTGTACAGCTACGGATATCCTGGACAATCCGAATAAGACTTAATCTGTGCAGCGGACCGTGGCAGACATAGCCCTGACCTCTTTTAAAGACCGACACTCCATTGACTGAAGGAGTTCATTTTCAGACCCCTTTCCTTCCAACATTGCATACCACCCTCACCACATCAGCATCATCCGTTACCCCAGCAATGACACCTCCCACGGCTCTGGCCAGTGGCGCTAAGGGAGTCAAAATGAATAGCCTTAGTAAAGACTTCGAATCCATCACCATCACGGGATACTACACCCGGGACATCAGGTTCCCAGTATTTCACATGTCTCAATCGCTGGCGGCAATCTTTCTGATCAATCGTATAGACATCTTTACAAGATGAGGGATCTGATGCCATGAATGGGGCGGTTGACTTCTCAAATCCATACTGTGTACTACAGACTAATTCTGAGTATGAGGGCCATGGTGTGGTCAGTCCACAGCCTGCCAGCGGTTTTGCTGTCGCCCATTTGCTGACACAATTTCAGAGCTTCACCATTGGGCGAGGCAACAACCTCGTCTGCGCAGCTATCGACATGCTTGCTCCACTGCTAGTGAACCGATCTCTAGCATCCCTGACATCGAATATGGGCAATACATGGCGCTATCTAGCCTCAGACTCGCAGATGCGCTGGGTAGGCCCTGAAAAGGGTGTTGTACACCTCGCGCAGTCTGCAGTCGTCAACGCCGTTTGGGATCTCTGGGCGAAATCTCAGGGTAAACCTGTTTGGCGTCTGGTGGCAGAGATGTCGCCAGAGGAGTACGTGCGCTGCATCGATTTCCGATACATCACTGATGCACTCACGCCTGAGGAGGGTATTGAATTGCTTCGTAACCAGGAACTTGGGAGAGCTGAGAGGTTGAAGGAGGTGGAGGAGAATAAAGCCGTTCCTATTTACAGCACCTCAGGTATCCAGAACATCGAGTCCCTAGACTAAGCTGCTTGCGTGAAATCAAAGATACTAATCCTCGTCTAGCTTCATGGTTAGGCTACTCAGACGAGAAGATGAAAGGCCTCCTAGAACAGTCCAAGGCTGAAGGGTTTCACCAATACAAACTTAAGGTCGGGGGTGATCTCGAGCGGGATCTTCGTAGATTGAAGCTCTTCAGAGAGGTCAACGGCTGGGATGATATCCTTATGCTAGACTCGAACCAAGTACACCTTTCAATCATCTACCCACCCTAGCCCCCTCAAATCCCTTGATTACCACTGACCATTTTATTGTAGATTTGGTCCGTGCCCGAAGCAGAATCCTACATCGCCCACCTCGCCCCATTCAAACCTCTCTTCATCGAAGAACCCACCTCCCCTGACGACATCCTCGGCCACGCCACCATCCGCGCCGCCCTACGCAAATACAATATCAAGGTTGCCACCGGTGAGCATTGTCAAAACCGCGTCATGTTCAAGCAATTCTTGCAAGCCGAGGCGCTGGATTACGTCCAGGTGGATGCTTGTCGTCTTGGTGGGCTGAATGAGGTCATGGCTGTTATGTTGATGGCGGCAAAGTTTCACGTTCCGCTGCATCCGGTAGGCTATGTCGCGTTCTTTCTAATGGGGAATCGGAGCCGCGTTCGAACGTGATTTCGGCGTGCTGATTGCTGAGGTGGTGGGTTCTCTAGCACATCGGCGGCGTCTCCCTCCCCGAGTACTCCCAACACGTCATCACAATCGACTACCTTGTCGTTAGCGGGCGCCGTAGCGTTCTCGAGTACATCGACGCCTTGCACGAACATTTCTACCATCCCGCACAGATCGCCAATGGGTTTCATGTCACGCCCACGGCGCCCGGGTACAGTGTTCACATCAAGCCGGAGAGCATGGATCGCTTTAGCTTCCCTGGAGGGAACGGCAGTTGGTGGAAGGGTAAGGAAGCTGAGAAGCTTTTGAAATTAGAGAGGACGGTGGGGTGGAGGCCGGAATTTGGAAAACCCCAAACGGAGGTGGTGGATGTGCAGTTGAAGGGAAATGATGCTGCTTTTGCTAACGATGATGGACGAACGTGAAGGTTATCGGGCTGATCTCCTGGTGGGTTGGCTTTTTTCCTTTGTTAGTTCCGAGTCTCGCTGGATTCCACAGCGTCGTTTCCCTTTTCTTTCCCCTTCATTCTTCTCTTTAAAAGATTCTCAACAATCTGTATCAGCCACTTTGAGGTCTCAACGACGGCTCATAGCTTTCGATCGTTGAAACCCTCTCCGTGGGCTTCATTTTGATGTCAGGTTTTCAACAAACATGACCGGGGCGCTCAACCGCCAGTTACTGGAAAGCCATAGAACAACATGTGGCACAACCATACTCATTCAGCGCACATGCAATAGTTCTCCGCACATGGAACGAGTAGTGACTGCGACGCGTGCATAAGTCTACAAGACTATTAAACAAAGTATAGTAGCGAATTAAACTACTTGCTTTAATTGCTCGAATGAACGTGCTCATCTGCTCATCCATGTCTCTCTTTGCTAGTTTTCCACGGTATCCGTGGCAAGCGATAGTATTCACCCTGATACCCGCATCCCACGGATCCAAAGTCCCGAAAACAGCAGACATCCCCTCTTGGAATCAGGCAGTACGAACCAGCGTCCGACGGCAAACAATCAGCGTTTTTGTGCAAACATCAGCATATTATTCCATGTCTTGGTCACAATCATCACAGTAGCCTGGAATTGTCAGTCACGGATAGAGGTAGTAGTGCAGATCGTATCATTGTCATCTCGTCTCACCACGAGCGATTTTTACCTTGGCCACTTCCACTGGACCTGGCTGCTCTGTGTGGCCACGGCGTTTCCTTTTCGTATATATATTCGGGTGGCATGCTGGATAAGAGGGAAACATTTTTCCCTGCACACGTACGGTAGCCGTTGGCCTCAAATGGAAATCCCGTGCTGGTGACTTCGCAGTCGTGACTGTTGCCGGGAAACTGCGCGATCTTGTGAGAAGTGTCGGCTGCGCTGTCTTCGCTCAATATTCAACAATGGGCCTTCAAAACTCGGCAGCGATCGCCCGCGAGATGTGCATGGAGCTTGTTGTCGGCGAGGGAAAGCGCATGTAGTCTCGGGTCGGGTGTGGTGTTGGAATATGAGATGAAATGAGAAAGGATATGAGATTAATGCAAGCTGAGGCTTTTCATTGGGATGCTTTTTTAGGTAATCAGGAGCATGATCCGTCTCTGGCGACGCTGCAGGCTTTTCCTGCTTCCGCATCGATTGTGAAGATGAGGATCTGAGAAGGGCGAAGGATCTCAATGCGCAATATCATAAGGACATTGGCTCTCCCTTTGGCCCTGAGACGGCTCGCGTGGAGTCTGTACATGTTACTCGCTAACAGCTTGTTCTTCTTGTCAGAGCCGAGAATCCCAGGGACGCGGACGCTCGAGCGGCGGCAATGTCTGGGGTTTATATGGTGTCAAAGGTGCTATCTTTTCGAATTTGAAGGCTTGATTTCCCGTGGACATTGCAATTCGAGTCGTGAGCACATTGTAAACAGATCGTCTTCCTAATAGCAAGAAATGGATAATCTATGCATTTCGTTTTTCTTAACTAATATCCTTTGACAGGACAAGCCGATTCGTTCTGGTCTCAAAAAGAAAATACACGAAGTTAACCGAAGAGAGCTCTCTTCTCTGAGAACTTGGAGGCTTTGAGACTCCCTTTGTGTATGCCATGCGCTACATCCTCTTACAATGTTCGTGATCCTGTTCAGTTTCAAGATCAGTGTTCTCATTCTCACGCATCACACATACACATAGGGCACATAGGTATGAGGTATCAAGTGGTTGGGCCGTCCTCGACGCCGGGATAGCAGCTGAATAGAGGCCTGAACAGACGTATCCGTACCCCAGCGCCGAGAAAACTCCCATGCCTATGGCATAGACCTGGAGTGAAATGGTAGCTAGCTATATATAGGTGTGGGTGGGTGGGACAAAAGGTATGCAATAGATCTGAAAGAGACGAAATCGAATGAAGAGCCATTGACAGGTGCAAAACAGGTGGATATGTAGCTCGTAGTGAACAGGTGTGTCCTACCCCTGACAGGGTACCTGAAACAGCGGCTCTGTGGTGAAACCCACTAACCCTCAGTCCCACTGTGGCGATCTAATACAAGACAAACAAGTCCTATTCCAAAAATCGTTTTGCCACAGTATGAGAACTTCATGCTGTAGTAACTCTGACAACATTTTGCTCATTTCCGTTCTCGACACTCACGGTATTTGTTGAGGTACTATCTGTTGACCGCTTAAAAAAGGGGTTGGAGATATATTTGTAGAACATACAACCTACTTTGAATTGTCGCGACGCCATCTTTGCCGGCAACGGCGCACATTCCAACAGCAGCTACTGCGGCACCCCACACCCTATACCATTTTGTGATCATAGGTGCACCGGTGCCCTCGACACTGATGTCGCACTGGCCCTCGGCTTTATATCTCGTCAGCTTCGTAGGACAAGCAAGACTGCTGTGAGAACCTGAGATAGGAAGGGAGGTTTCACGAATCAGAAAGCGCCACGGGAGGATCACGTCAACGGGAGAATCCTGCAAGGGAGGCCCGAACACCTCTGATTTTGTCGTCGCGGGTATCCGTTCCAGAAATAGGGGACAGAATCGAATGTCTGCGGCTCTCACACTGGCCTCGGAAGATTGCACAGTCGGCTCATACTGCTAAACCGTCCAGGTCAAAGATCCCTGTTGTCCTAGAGGCGGTCAGCATGAGCTCTACAAACCTAACGGCCCAGTACGTGCACTGACCTAAGCCACTTGCAATCCCGCCTTGATCCTGTGACTCCACGCAGCCTGTTATCAGACGAAAGGCTGCCTGCTTCATGTCTTGCAAGCTCGCGCGGTCGGATTAAACCCTAGCTGCGTGGGAGAATTCGATGATGCAGTCTCCATCCGCTGTACATTGACGTTAGCTATCAGGCAGAGCCCAGATGATTATAGCGGTCAAGTCTACAAGTCGAGTGCTTAGGACCTATGAACCTGTAAGGAAGGAGAACTCCCTGGTTGGCGATGCTACAATCTCTAAGGAATTGATATTCGAATCAGTGGGCATGTTTCGGTATGCGGCTCGGCAGCTGGCATCGAGGCGACGGCCTTATCTTGTGCTGCTGCATCCAAATATCACATCGTTCTCTTCCGACAAATTGAAAGGTGCGGATGATTGTGGTCCCCCTCGGCTAAGGGATGAAAGATTTGTGGGAACTGAGATTGTTTGAAGAGGGACCCCGTTGGCAAGCAAGTCGGACGTTTGATAGGTTGTCGGCAATGCTAGGCCTTGTGGAGCATCCAATACTAGCGATAAAGCGACAGAGATTTGGGAAATGATCCCAGCCAAGGAACGAGTCCCATCTTCAACTGCGAAAATAGCAATGGCATAGAAAGTAATAGCACTTGGAGAGGTTACAGCGGGAGAACATTATCGCGGGTATTGGCTTAGATATAGTAATAACACAGGGTAATGCAACAACGTGTGAGCTACCATAGGCACGAAGCACTTGAGAGTGTCGCTTGAGTCGACACGAGAAACACGCGATACTATCATGCGCGACCGGGCTTTAACTTGAGGCATAGCCTTCGTCCGCAACAAGCGCTATGCGCTGCCCGTGTACAACGCGGGACAAAATATATTGTTGGTTACTCTCACCATAAGCGGAGAGCTGCTGCCAGGCCATCAAAATGCAGCTTCCCCGGAGTACAGTCTGTTCACCACTCCCACACCAAGGATCTAACCTCAAGATAATTGCAGCCAATCATCTTCTCTTTCCCATGATTTGACGTACGTTTATGTCAATGGCCTCGAGCCTTGTAAGATCACTTACTAGATATCCGACTCCGCCGTTCCACCTCTGAATTTGAATGCGGTATTAATCTGCTGACCCCAGATCTCCTGTCGCTTTAGCTGTAATTAGGTGTTGCTGCAAATGTCAGAGGCAGGGCTGGCAACGGTGGAAATAGTTGGTTTTGGAGGGCAAACTGCACTAACTACTAGATTTGGAAATCGAAATTGCACCAACTACCATATATTGAAAACCAACTACCCCACTATCAGTGCACTGATAGTGGAGCAGTTATAATAAAAGCTAAAATATCGCTCAGTGTGGGGGGAATGGGGTAATACCTATATCAAGTGTTAAGCCCTATCAGCCCTATCAGCCCTATTTCAGCCCTATTTCAGCCCTACTTTAACCCTATAAATGTTGACCTATTAGCTCTTTTAACTCAAAAAACCGACTTTTTAAAAAGATTATTATAAACTACTCCACTATCAGTTGAACCAGTTGGTTTTGCGGTCAGAACTACACCAACTATCAACCGGTAGACCCCAAACTACACCATCAACTACGAGAAACTAACGGTTCCACTGGTAGTGGACCAGTTAGTTGGTCCACCATTGCCAGCCCTGGTCAGAGGTAAAAATTTCCCAGGATCTGATGGACTCCTTAGCCTAAAGCCGGGAGCAGAAACGCAGGGAGCTGTTGATTGCAAATCCATCGAGACGGAGGTTGAAAATAACGTTGTTGATTACAGTCACCCTAACTCACGCATCGCACTCGAGTAGCAGAGAGAATCTGCCGAAAGATACTCTGGAGATATACACGGAAAACCCACAAGTACGACAGTGAGCTTGTTCTGTTCTCAACAACCGAGCAAACACAGAGTTTGATTTAAGAGTGTGAGAACTGCACGTTCTTCGAAGTGTTCGAAACATGTTCGATCGGAGCGAGTAGCCGGGCCCAATGTTTGGTACGAGGGTTACTACTGCATTTTAGAATATCTCCAGTCTCCAAATTGGGGCTGCCCACCGGCTTTGTACTGCCCGAAACTCTGTTCAGCGTCCAGTTTTCAAAACTGTATTCTATGTCGTTAATCTGAATTGCTAGACCAATCTGTCGGTCCCTTCAGAGTTTCTATCTCAGCTACAGCTTTTCTTCTTTTCAGCATCTCTCTTACGAAACATGGCGCTTCCAACCACAATGCAGGCCCAAGTCCTGAATGCTTTTAACACCCCCTACGAACTCACTACCCGACCTATCCCCCCTCCCCCAACAGGCCATGATATCCTCATCCGCGTCCACGCAGCCTCATACTGCCACACCGACGCCGTCTACGCCTCCGGCGCCATGGGCAAAACCCTCCCCTTGGTCCCCTGCCACGAGTTCGCCGGCACCGTCGTCGCCCTCGGCCCCGCCGTCCCAGCCTCCAGCACCCTCCAAATCGGCACCCGCGTCGGCGTGCCAGGTCGCGCGTACCATCCCTGCGGTCGTTGCAAGGAATGCGAAAACACAGAGGATGAATCCGGCTACTCCGTTTACTGCCCTAAGGCCGGCAACAACGGCATCTCGCGCGATGGCGGCTTCCAGCAATACACCCTCGTCGATGCAAGACAGGTCGTGCCGATGCCGGAGGCGTTGTCGTTTGTGGAGACCGCGCCGCTCATGTGCGCGGGGCTGACGGTCTTCGCGGCGCTGAAACGCTGTAATCTGCAGCCTGGTGATGCGGTGGGCATTGTGGGCTGCGGTGGCGGTTTGGGCCATTTGGGCGTCCAGTTCGCGCTCGAGATGGGCTATCGGGTCATCGGTGTCGATAATGGGGACGCTCCGCTTCGGCTGGCCCGGAGCTGCGTCGAGCCCGATTCCGCCGCCGCCCACATTTTCGACGCGAGGACCACGGACGCCGATGCGGTTCTTGCGTCCCTGGCTGAGTCGACGGGGGCGGAGTCCTTGCCCTCCGAGCGCGGCATCCCGGCCGTTCTCATCCTGCCGGAATCCCAGGCCGCTTTTTCATTCGGGATGTCGCTCCTGCGTCCGCATGGTCGGTGTGTGGTAGTATCATTTCCGGAGAAAGGGTTCGCTTTCAGCGCGAAGGATCTCGTGTTTAAAGACGTGGAGATCGTGGGTAGTCTCGTTGGGAGCAATCGGTGCGCGAGAGAGATGCTGCAATTGGCGGCGCGCAGCAATGTTAGGGCGAGGGTGAGGACATGGAGTTTGGAAGCGTTAAATGAGTTGGTGGAGGCGTATAAGAAGGGAGAGGGGGGGAAATTGGTGGTGGATTTGGAGGCGTCGGGGCTGGGCGAGTTGAGTAGGCGGTGAGTTCTTAGTGAATTTGCAGCGGGGAGGAGATTGGAAAGAGTGAGACCATCTATTAACTTTTCTTTATACCATACCTTTGGTCATTGGGCAGCGCGAAAAGTTGATCTAGGCATAGAGGGAGGCTACCAATGCCCTGTGAGAGACAGGGCCATTACCTAAAGTGTGTTATCTTCTCGGCACATGAATTCAATAAGAGAGAAACGTCAGGCATGCTATAAGGATGCGCACCTCTACATCAGCTGTTGTGACAGTCACGCCGAATGCAGCAGATATTTACAGCTCATTAGATTTTTGCGAGTTCGATATGTACAATTTGTCACGCGCGGCACCTCACTTGGAGACTCTAGCGAATCCAATACTTGAAGAAAAATCCTGTTCTTCAAGCTTTTTCCTCATGGGTATAGTCGACTCCCACAATACTCATATCTTGAATCTTCTTATCGAGGTCATCTTCCTGGTCATGCGTGATATGAACAGCGACAGGGTCACCAAATAGCTCATTGATCTCTTCCAGTGAAAGGCCTTTGGTCTGTCATGCAAGTCAGTAATGATGAGGCAAAGCTACTATGAGCAGGATATACGCACCTCGGGGAAAAACACCCAAACCAATGTGAAGGTACAGACATCGAGGCAAATGAAGACAAGATAGAACTTCCAGCCTATGTGAGTAAAGCCTGTGTCTACTTTTAGTATCGTAGCTGCAGTGACCACTGGTTCGGTGTCGACCTACTGACAGGCGCCACGCCAACGAACAATGCCGCCGCTGCCGTTTGGGCAAAAAGGCTCAATGCGACACCAATGCTTCTGAATTCCATAGGGAAAGCCTCTGAAACGACGACGTATTGTTGCGCATCGATAAACGTGGCATAAAACACCACGTAAAAGAAAATGAAGAAAGTGCCAAAGCCCAGTCCAACTTTGTTTGGTGTCTCTTGACCAACGAAATATTTGGTCAGGGCGGCTTCAAACGCCAGACACGTGGCTGTCCCCGCGATACCTATCAGAAGGCAGATTTTGCGGCCGAAGCGGTCCATGAGGGCGGTCGCGGCCACGATGTTGCCTAGCATGCCGACGATGTTCCAGATCGCGAAGAGTAGGATTGGAATCCCGCCTGTAATGCCGAGCCCGGTGTAGAGAGTGACTTGGTAGTCTGATTTCCGACGCCGATGCTTAGCATGCTTCAGACCTAGGGGCATGCAATGATCGACTTACTGTTCACGACAAGATTACCAGAGCACGCGCTGCTGAGAGTTGCGCCACAGCCAATCAGGATTCTGCGCCGGTAGCTCGCCTTCTTGAAATAATCCCACCAGTGTACAACCCCAAGATTTTGTTTTTTCTGCTCATCTAGCGCAAATTGCTGGGTCATCTGGTAGAATTCTTTGCGAGCGAAGGTGTCGTCTGGGTCATCTGGTTGAGCGTGGAGCCTCTGGATGACTTGGAAAGCCTCGTCGTTACGTCCCTTCATAAGTACTGTTTTACCGTCAGCAACCTTCTGGAAGAAGAGACTTGAATGGCGTACACCATCGAGGACTTTCTGGTAGCTTCCAACTGCCAGACAGTAAGATCAAGGTGGGTATCAGTTGCACTGCGAAGGGAAATCGCCATTGGAATGATGATGTTGAGTCATAGTAGCATCCGAAACCGACAAAACCCGTGAGAGCATAGCCCAACCCAAGAGCAATTCCATGAAGTCCTACGTGGAAACCCCGATGCTTGGGTGGAGAAAGCTCTGCTTGGTAGAGTGGAACTGCGAGTGTTAGCCGGCGCCGGATACGTAGCAACCTTTGGGCCTTACCTCCACAGACCATCTGACCAACGCCCCAGCCCATGATGAAGCGGCTTGCGAGGTACATGGCGACATTTGCCGCGCCTGCCATCAGAGCGGCGCCGAGAATGCAGACCATGCAAGCAATCTGAATTGTTCGCAACCTTCCAAAAGCGCTCGCGGTATATGCAATAGACAATGATCCCAAGGCGCCACCAGCGAAGAACAAGCCGTTCATCGCGCCTGTGTCTGTGTTAGTAGAGAAAGCGAGCGAGAGAGGTTGCAACAGTATGCAGGTGGTTCACCTAGGATCGTGTTTGTCCGAGACAGACCAGGACCTTTCTGCGCAAGGGCGAAGTAGTTGTAAAATTGAGGCTGTCCAATAACTTGGCCAATAATACTTGCAGCGTAGCCTGATGGCTGGTGTTAGAAGATTTCAATGCTTTCATCCTGCCTGGCCTATCTTACCATAGGTAATGGAGCCAATCGCTGCAAAGATGGTGATGTATGAAGTGTGCCGATTTCTCTTCGCCATATCTTCGAGCTTCAGATTCTTCTGTGTATAAAAGGTGAAGAGAAAATGGAAACTGGAGTAGATACCAGCGATACTCACAGCAGTCTTATTGTCGGTTGTCTGGAACGATGAGTCTGTTGGTCGTCGAGACCGATAGCGTTGGGTCATTTTGTGGAGAACGGCACTCCATACAAATACGCGTTGCTCGGCCACAATCCCCAAATTGGAGCTCAGGGCCAGCGACGTTTCATACTTTTGCCTTGATCAATGCTAAACGCGGCCACCCAAGCTCCATTCCCAAATACCTCAGAGTCGGGGCGGTGGTAATTGACTTTACCCCACACTGAAAGTCTAGATCCGACCGCTGTTGAGATTTCCCCGCACTGCGAGATTCGGGGTTATGGAGCTTGATCAAAGGCAGTCACTGGAGCCCACCGGTTGCAGCCAGCTTGCAGCGCCAGGGGAGAAGTACGCAGTTCGAGGCGTGTAAAACTGACAGTTTTCCTCCTTCTAAGTATGAGGCTAATTACAACGGGTACATGGTCATTTTGTTGCCAACTCAGATTCAACTGTTGAAATCGGTATTCATTGCTGAACCATCAATCTGGCCATTCCCACGGGCTATAACGAGGGCTGACCATTTAAGATATCGAAGACTTTGATCATGCAACAGTCTCGTAAGTCTAAGGCTCTAGCATGTCTGCATAGAGATTTAGTGACCTTCCAATGACGTCAATCATCTGCCAGATGCTGTCCGATCGGAAAAGCTTTGCCCAGAGTCGAACTACTGCGGCACTGAGGTGTTTCCCATTCCCTATTGGCTGCTCCGGAGGAGCGGCATACTCCGTTTCAGCTATCATTTGCATCACAAAATTCAAAAGCTTGTTCTCCTCTACAGAAAGAGGAGGCTCTGGCATAGGAATCGTGACTGACTCTAGCCATTTGGTCAACAAGAGGGCGCACTCCAAAGAACAAAGAGCGTGCTGCGTGGACCAGAAAAACATTTGGGTGTGGGCGACAAAGTTGATGCCCAATTTGATGGGTATGCTTAGCGCATGGGCACAATGCAAAGCAGCTCTGGTCATCCTTTTACCTCGTCCTACTGGCGAGCTCCTCTTGATTGACATTGCGATCTGCGACGGATCCCAGCTGCGCAGTGATCGGATGGGCCCAGTATCCACGTTGATACGAATGTAGGCTATGCGCAGCAATGCCAAAGAGTTAAATGAGAGTGGGCCGTGAGGGCTCAACGGATCAACAGAGGACTCGGGATTTCTTGCCCAGCTTGTCTGCCACGATCGCAGCGCGTGTTCGAGCGTGATCAAATCTGCTAACGGTGAGGGCTCAGACCCTGCAAGAGTATAACGGGCTATCTGCTGGATGAACCAAATATGCTGGACCAATGCGTGTATGAGGATGTACCCGCCAAGCGTAGAAACGTCGGTCGTCCCGCTATCCTTGCTGCGTCCATTAAAAAGTTTGGTGAAGGCGCCTTGGAAATTTGGCTCAGGCTTCTCCTTCTGGCGTATCTGAATCCAAGCCTCTGCAGAAGTGGATTTCCACTGCGCTTCACTACAGGGAAGATCCATTCCGAGTGTCCGGTTCAGTATTAAGGGAGGGATGTCGAAGGTAATGCAGTGAAGATTGAAGAAGCAATAGATGATGAACTTAGTCCTTTTGCTTCCTTCATGCTCTATCCAAAGCTCCCAATTAGTGTCTTGCACCAGATGCTCTGGTCCCAATCCTTCATCATGGACCAAACTCTCTAGCTGGCTTCGCATAGTCATTGCGGCCCTTGCCAGAGTCGTATGCTCAAACCATGTTGCCATGGCCATGAGGAGCAAGAGTGCCTGTGCTGTTTCAATAGGCTTCCCAAGTAGAGCCGCGGAGGTCTGAAACTCAGCTTCAGAATAGGACGAAGCATCCTGACCATGATGGGATCTGGAGAGCAAATATTCGTTATTCAGTCCTGAAGGCCTCGCGTTTCTACAGTCTCGCTCACGGATAGACTCCATGGCAATTGCCTCAGCAGCGTGAAAAATTTGCAAGCTTTTTTCAGGCTCTCTACAATATTGCGCACCAACAGCTGCAATAGCAAGGATGAGCTCGACGGAGGCGCTCGAAGTCGATATGGTGGGTATGTGGAGGAAAGGAAGATGTTCGTGGAAGCCTGTCACATAGCCGCCCAGATACCGTGATAGAGCGTGGCGGGTCGGCAGGACAAAAGACTTCGGGATAACACGTCGAAAACGCTCGAGTCGACTACCCAGGATTGTCCGTGAATGAGTTGAGATTTCCAACAAAGAGCTACGGCTTCTTTCGGAAGGACGAGCCGACTGTGGCCGTTCCTTTGGATGCCCTTCTGGCAGTTCTTCTGGCTGCAATGAGGGCAGTCGAGAACCAAAACGAGAAAAGCCAGTTTGATCTGTGTTTACCAGCCGCACATTTGCGTCAGCGTTAGTACTGAAACTCGGCGGAAGAATATCTGGCATTAAAATCATTGGATCTGGCGAAAAAGAGGGCAAAGGCTGCTCGAATTGGGAGATGGTTGAGAACATTTGAGTAGGTAGAGTAGCGTTGTCAAGCAACATTAGATAATCATCGAAATCTGCGAATGGCAGCATCTGGGAGGCTGCGGTCTGATCTTCAAGATGGAGGCCGGGTGATGTGAATGGCTGAGCGACCTGCAGCGTGGCATTTGGCTCACCATCCAAAGTGGTCATACCATCAACATCCGGCATGATGTCATCCTGTCCCAACAACTGTGCAGATGGAGAAAAGATCTGGTGTCCATTGAAAGGAGTGTTGATGGAGCTACGTTGGTAGATCGCTTCATCGGTCACGATCTGTTGATATATATCTGATCGGGATGGAGTTGTTGGCAGCTCTTCTTCTCCCAAACCAAGAAAGGTGGAAGTGGAAGATCTTGAACGTGGTGATTGAGCTGCGCCAAGTGTAGGACTAGTAGCGGAGTGTGCCAATCTCTTATGTCGTAGAAGGAGGTCGCTACGAACTTCTCAGCATTAGACCTCCTCAAAGGATGCAATTTTGTCTCTGACCTTCTGGTAAAGGCGTGAGGGCACACTGCGCATTGGAAGGGCTTTTCTTTGGTATCTATATTGGCCATGAGTTCATTGTCGCTCAGCCACCAAAATCCATCCCAAATACATACGGGATCTTCGGTGGCGCTGAAGATGCTCAAGTCTGGCAAAGCTTCGAGGGCAAAGTGTGCAATCGAAGTTCTTCTTCTTGTTGGTACTCATGCTTGAGGAGTCATGGTGCTCAATACGAAAATGCTTTGCTTGAGGCGAGGTGGTTGTCGGTCTGCGGACCTCACGGTGTCATTGTGGGAAGCTCGCCATCCGCCATTGGAACATATCTCAATCATTACACGCAAGGAATCGGCAATTGATCTTGACGCGTTGCCATGAAGACGAATATTCTTAGCAATTTAAAGGGACAGGAGTGTACTATAGGAATTGTCAAGGAAGAGAATTTCCGCCCCCTGAATGAAGTTGACGAAGTCTTGGCACCAGTCACAATTACCCCTCTTCTACAGAGGTCTGCACCGAAAGTCCTGCACCCGCCAAGACTCTTGCGCTCAGACTTCGGATAACGCCTCACCTAAAGGGCTACCTGGACAATGCGTCTGGAGTTCTTCGGAATCGCACCTAGCTCTAGCCAGGTTTCGGGGCTTAATACCCCTATCAAGTCAAAAGAAGTACCTAAAGTCCCATCCATGCGCTGTGAGAAGATATTTCTAGGCTTCCCCTCTACAGGGCCGCTTTCCGAAAGTAGGGTTAGGGCTGCACTAGTGCGGGTGCAGGACTTTCGGTGCAGACCTCTGTAACGCTTAATTCTATTAGCGCCTTGGCGGTAGTGAAAATCAACAATGGCCTGTCACAACTCCGCTCCATGTAAATAGAAGGACAACATCATCCTTCGAGCTCATCCAGACAGAACCGTTTTCAAAGCATCCATCTGATACCCTTGGCCTGCCCAGAAGTATACACCACCGCTAATCCTCCAATGCACGCCTCAAGCTTTGGCCTTCTCTGGCTTGTATTCTCCAGCCGCAGTCATTTCATTGATGACTCTCTCCGCAATCTTGAATCCTTCCAATCCCGCCGGCATACCACAATATACCGACACTTGAAGCACCGCTTCTCGAATTTCGATAGGTGTCAGTCCGTTGTTGATGGCTCCCCTGATATGATTCCCCAATTCTGGCCCTCGATTCAGCGCCGACAGCATGCCAATGTTCAAGAGACTGCGTTGCTTGCGGTCCAGTCCTGGACGATTCCACACATGACCCCAGCACATCTCAGTCACGAGGTCCTGCATCGGCTTGGCGAAATCACTCGAACCGCCTGCCAGCGCTTTGTCGACGTATGCATCACCGACTACCTCCCTGCGCGTTTTGATGCCTGCGTCGAAAAGCTGCTTATGGAGAGCCTCGATATCTGATGAGGATTGCATGGTGAAGAGAGGCTGATAATTAGGCTTGGGTGGATAAACGGTGGGAGTGAAAAGAATGTTGATGCAGTATTTCAAATTCTTAGACTTGCGAATTTCACTGTTGGGGTGCCTGCTTTTTGGCCAACTGACGTGTCAATGAGCTGTTTATGAGGAGATGGCTTTGTATTGTTGATTGGCAATCTGCACTGCAAGGTTGCCGAAGCTTCCGATGTTCAGAGAAAAGGTTCCCCAACTTCCCCATCTTCTCCAAATTGGGGTCGAATTTAGTTTGCACCCCGCAAACACGACTTATCGAACACAACCGTCATCTCGGCTATTTTTCGTAAGGCTCTAATCACAAGAAATATTTACAGACGATCAGTCTCCTCAACTTTCCACGCCAACACCCACATTCGATAATCCAATTTTCGAGAGACACCACCATCCACCATGACAGTAATCAATGGTCACGGTGAACTCCCTGCGGTCACGTATGGCTTCATCGGTATGTCTCATAGCTTTGCATTTCGAAGAGTACACTTGGTTCGCGTGGCTAAAGTATTAATAGGCCTTGGCAACATGGGATACCGCATGGCTAAGAATCTGCGATCAGAACTCTCAGCTGACTCGGCTCTTGTGGTTTGCGAGGTCGTACAGTCTGTGCTGGACAAGTTTGTGGGTGAGACGAAGGGACTGATCAGGGTCGCCAATACCCCCAAGGAGGTTTCCGAGCAGAGCGTAAGCTGCGACAATGCACCCATAGAAATAGGCTCGCTGACAGACATGAAGGACATCATCTTAACTATGCTGCCAGCGGGGAAACATGTCAAACAAGTCTTTACCGACCAATCTAATGGCCTTCTCTCCATCTCAAAATCTTCGAAGCCGAAACTTTTTATCGAATGCAGTACTATTGACGTCCCAACGTCTCTGGAGGTTGCTGAAGCCGTGTCGCAATCCGCTCTTGGCTCTTTTGCTGATGTCCCTGTATCCGGTGGTCCCACCGGTGCCGAAGCAGCTACTCTTACGTTCATGGCAGGCGGCTCTACAGACGTCATCGGAAGAGTAAAGCCCATCGTGATGACCATGGGCAAAACATTTTTCCACTGCGGCGGCGCGGGTGCAGGACTCGCCACTAAGCAGATCAATAACTACATATCAGGCATTTGTATGCTTGGGACTGCGGAAGCAATGAACTTGGGAATCCGCTATGGCCTCGATCCGAAAGTGCTGGCAGGCGTCATCAACTCTAGCACCGGGCGATCGTACAATAGCATAGAGCAGAACCCCGTCAAAGGCATCAGCCCTAATAGCTCAGCAGAACGAGATTTTGAGAATGGCTTTTCCATCGAGCTTTGCAAGGGCGTTTTGCACATGGCAATCAATTTGGGAGAGAGAGTTGGCGCAAGGCTCCCGCTGAGTCAAGGCCTGATCGACACTTATGAGGCGGCGAGCATGGATGATAGGTGTAAGGGCAAAGATTGCAGAAGTGTGTACAGGTATGTTGCGGATAATTGAGCCGTCGTTTACAATAAGATCGTCGTCGGGGCGTGGAACATTCTTTTTGACTGCAGTTACATTTCTTGCCATACATGGGACTCATATAAGATAACGCTCTGATGTTCAAGTATGCGCATCAAGTGATTGTCGGAGACAATGGATTCTTTTTGGGATGTGAATTCCGAGCCGTGCGGCTAAACAAAGCGCCTGCATTGTACCCCGCTTCCCCAATTTTCGCACAGGCCCCAAGATGGAGATCGCGTCGTTCGAAGAGTTTATGCTTTTGGACTCATAATCAAAGTCAGGTAAAGCCGTCTCTTAGACCCTTACACTTTCAGATACGCGACAACAATGTCATCCTTCCTTCCTCCCCGAGCACCTCAGCAAAACTATGTCACAATCTCCGCCCTCCACAGCGGCACCTTGACACTCCCAAGTCACTTGTTTATCACTCCCACATCATCCTCTGCCCGTCGCACCGTCCCCTCATTGTCATTCCTAATACAGCATCCCTCTCCTCGCACTCTTACAGAGAATGATCCACCTCCCACCCGTCTCCTCTTCGACCTCGGACTCCGCAACCCGCTCTCGACATACCCCTCACCGATTCAAAAACACCTCGAGACGCGGCACCCAATAAGCAGCGATCATGACGTAGTTCGAAGCCTCATGCAAGGGGGCTTGAAGCCGGATGATGTGGATTGGATCATTCTGAGCCACGTCCACTGGGATCACATCGGCACGCCTTCATTGTTCTCGAAAAGCAACTTCGTAGTGGGTGCTGGGAGTCTGCAATTGTTGCAAGGCTGCGGAGATCAGTCATCGGGCGGACACGCGCATTTTGAATCGGATTTGCTGCCTGAAGAACGCGTCGTGGAATTGCCTAGCACTGCGACGCTTGGCTCGGCCCCGACAACGAATGGCGCCACAAACGGGACTGAAAAGAAAGAAGGTTCTACGAGCGCCCATCTGCGGTCAGCCCGCTGGCAACGCCTGGCGCATTTCCCGCACGCCATCGACTTTTTCCACGACGGTAGCCTCTACCTAATCGACGCGCCGGGCCATCTTCAAGGGCACACCAACATTCTTGCGAGAATCGGGCCGGAAAAGTGGGTCTATCTGGCCGGTGATGCATGCCATGATCGGAGGATTCTTGAAGGGGAGGTTGGTATTGCGACGTGGGAGAACGAGGAAGGGAAGGTGTGTTGCATTCACAGTGATGTCCATGAGACGGAAATGACGCTTGAAAGGATCAGGGTGTTGGGGAATGCCTCGGAGGAGGTGGAAGTCATTTTGGCGCATGATGTGGATTGGGCGCAGGACGAGGTGAACGAGGCTAGGTTTTGGCCTGGGACTTTGTAGTTCCCGAGCGGAGTGATTGGCAGTCATTTTTTCCGATCTTGACAGGACAGCAGCAGCTACTTGTTGCCTTGAAGCATATTATGCATACCAATCACGTCGATTCCTCCTATCGCTGTGTTCTTAGAGCGAGCGTCTAGATAAGGCTGCGTATGGCGAAAGGTTACTATCGGGAGGAAACAAAGGGTTGCTGCATACGATCTCGCCTGCCTGTATCTAAAGAGGTGGGATTACCCATGCTTGCTGCAGGAGCCTTCATCTACATATACTCAACTTCCAATTACTTTGGAGACTTTAGATTTTCGGCTCGACCTCAGGTCTTCCAATAAAACCCTTCCTTCAAACAGGATCACATCATCCACCAAAGCGACCTTCTCTTCCCAAAAGACGCCGAGTTTCTCTAGAGGGAGCACCTCTGCCACCCACAACGTCAGACCATCCGAATCATCCAAAGCCCCATATCCACGACTCCAGAGACTTCGATCAAGATTTTCCCGTCCTTAGTACCAGTAAACTCAAGTCCTCCATGAGTCCTTCACGAGAAACATAACCTCCTCAACCTTCATGCACACTCTCAGCAAACACTCCGATAAGGGCAGTTCGGCCTGCAATGACATGAACCTTCTATCTTCTAGGCCAGTTCGCCAAAGTATCCTAGTCGACTGATGTTACATGTATCCCTACATCTTTGGATAGCAACAGATCAGATGCAAACCTGGAGTACGTGATCATTGCATGGCAACAACCAGGGGTGCAGCATTTTAGATGCTTGTTCCGAGAGATCTCTCGAAAGGCGAGAACATGTCACGGACTTTGCAGCAAAGAAACTTTATTCTTTGGGATCTGGGTTGATATCCTCGCGGCGTCGCCGTCTTTTTGATCGACGACCTGATCATAAGGGAATGAGTCTTAGGTTCTGAGAAATAACGAAAGAGGACGAGAATAGCAAGAATGGAGCCATACTATCAATGGAGAAGACCGCTGGAAAGATGCGCATTGCTTGCTGGTATTAGGAGAGAAGAATGCGTGGAGGAGGAGGGGGAAACGTTAGTTGCCTAGAACGTAGTCAGATCATGGGAGTGAACCGTCGCTTTTCAGCCAAAACAACTCCTTTCTATTGCAGGTATGCACAAATCGAGTCGAAGCCTTGCCTTACCTATACTGGGTTCCATTGACGTGCTACCAAATATACCGAAAATATACCTTAGTCCAATAAAGCGAGACATAGCCTTGGCTGTTGGGACCTTGCCATCCGACGATGAAGATATATCTGGGACCACCCTGGGAGCGTGTTGAGATTTGCTGCAGCACCTGTGTTGTAGCTACCCCGCCATGGTGGCAAATAGAGGTATAAGTAGCCATCTCTCAGCACTCTCATAGCTACTTAAATAAATAAATCAATCCTTCATACATTTCCAACAGAGCGACTGGCGCACGATCGTTGGATTACTAGTGATCAAGGGTGTCAAGCTAAACTATGGATGGTGGGCAAATTACAAATTCATACCCCAAACTATGGGATTCTTACAAATTCATACCCCATCTTACATTTTCATACCCCTCACCAAAAAAATGGGGTATGAATTTGTAAGTTGCCAGTCTTTGGGGTATGAATTTGTAAGTTACCATTTTCTGGGGTATGAAAATGTAAGATACCATGTTAGCAGCAGCCCTCACGGGGGCCCTGCGACGTCCCTACGGGAGCCCTACGGGGCCCTATTTAGGTCCAAATAGGAGTGTTTGGCTGTCAAGCGCAGAGACCCCCGGGACCAAGCTTTTTTAGTTGAGTTGCTAACACAACATCCCTATACCTATAAGTCATTAGAAGGGTATTTTAGGGTGTTTCAGGCTATCTACCCCAATTGTTAGTAACCCGAATTACCGCTAAAGGGTTAAATAGGGGTATTTACACTTCACGCTGCAGACACCCCTAGGGAGCCCCGCAGGGCCCCCGGAGGAATAATTCCTAACACCAACCCGCCCTATCCGATAACCGCCCAACTGTAACAAATCCAATTTTTTCTACCACAATACACTATGACACTCCATCACCCTATTATAATACATTAAAAAAGCGCTATATCTACTCTTTAGACTCCACTATAGTCCCTCTACTATGAAATCGTTTCATATAGTCCCCTTTACGATATAGAAAGATGTTATACATAATATAGCCACCTCTAATCCTAAGAGAACTTTCTCTATTTCTACTTATTTCTCTATTAAAATCTCTATTCTTAATATCTATACGATACTATATATATATTCTACTATCTTTTATATCTTATTAGTTATAATTATTTTATAATAATTTAAGAAGAATAGTAATTGCGAATAAAGATGAAATCTTTTAATTAGATACTCTATTCTTTATTAAATCTATTATTACTTATTTTAGAAAACTCTAATACTCTTAATACTTTTTTTTTATAGATTTATAGAGTTTAAAAGTATTAGAGAGACTTTTATTAAGATATTAAGTAAATAGAGATATTTAAGTCTAATTATAAGCTCGCTAAGAAGTATATATAGTTATTAAAATATTAAATCGATTAATCTCCCTTATATATAAGTTATAATAGAAGAATATCCTCGAAATATCGAAATTCTTTTATTAAATATTATTTCTATTCTTTTTAAAAGTAGATAAGATAATATAATTATTAATACTTATTCTATTAGAACGCTTTCTTTTTTTAATAATAGTATTATTAATCTCTCTAATATCGTAGATAGTAATAAAAGCTAAAATAAGATTATTATTCTATTAAGCTATTATAAGAATATTATTCTAAACTACTATAGTAAGAACTTTATATGAAATATTCTTAATAAAAATCTATTTCATCTCTATAAGTAATTTTGAAAGATCTATTCGATTTAGCTTTATAGTCTTATATATAATAATTCTTAAGATCTTTAACTTTCTAATAAGCTTTAATTTAATAAAATAGTTATTTATAAAGAGAATAGAGTTAGAGAGTAATATATTAGTAGCTAATTTAAATACTATAACTAATATTTCTCCGAGATCTTTAATTTTTAATTTATTCTTAAGGTTTTATATAGGCGAATATTATATATAATTATAGAGATAATCTTTATTATTAATTATAAAAAGCTTATATCTCTCTTTAATTAGCTTATCTAGAGTTATAATAGAATAATAAATATATTTTATCTTCTTAATTATATATTTATCGATTATATAATAAGAACTTAATATATATAATTTCTTTTAATTACTTTATATCTTATCGACGAATAAAAGAAGCTTTCTATACTATATAGACTTCTTATATCTATTCTTTTTAATAATAAAATTATTCTCTATATTAAAATTTAAGTAATATATATATCTACGAAGAAGAACGTAGCGATTTCAAGCTATTTATTTAATAATAATCGAAGCTATTAAAGTAATATTATTATTTCTCTAATAATTATAAATAGTAGAAAAGTAATAGATTCTCATATAGATAGTAATAGCGATAAAGATTTTCAGCTTTAAGATCTTAAGAGATTTTTAAGTAAAACTAAGGGTATTCTATTAAGAGATATATAAATTAATATTATTATAAAGTATTTCTTATATAGTAGTAGTTTATATAAGAGAAAATATTAAATATAAAGTAACTTTTAGATCTTTTAGAAGATAATTAACGATTTTACTATTAAGGATACTATATAAGAAGCATGCATATACTCCTAAAAAGGAGTTTCACGAAGAAGAAAAAGATATTTCTTAATTCTAATTATGATTAATTAATTAAGTTAAAGCTATAAACGAAATCGAAGAAAGAAAGCGATATATCAAGTTACGCTAGTTAGGTTTCTCACGCTATACTAAAAACGTAATAGTTACCCTCCCTCATAAAAAGCTATATCGTTCTCGGGCTTTTTCTTATCTCGTAAAGATCTAGATGTAAAGGTGTAGGAAAGAAGATATACGGGTTCTACTTCTCGTAAAAATAGATATGTCAGATTTAAGGCGGATATTGAAAAGCGGTAAAAGGGAAAGCGTGGAAGTATTCGATGTGAAGATATCTCGATAAGATTCGCGTTCTTTATCTCGTAAAGATCTAGATGTAAAGTGTATAAGAGAAATCTTATAAAGTTTTAGACGTAAAGGTGTATAATCTTTTTCTTCGGTTAAGCGTTTTCTTTAGTTAAAGAATCAAAAACGAAAAATCCTTCCTTCCACTCTTCGAACTCTGTAAAAGGCTTTTTATCGTCGTCGTGAATGAATATTAAGATTATTAGATCTAGGTATTTCTTAGCGAAGGTCTCTTACGCTTTATTTAAGGTATCGAGAATCTTATTTAATAACGGCTTATTAATACTCTAGTATTCCTTAATACTCTCGATATCGATCTTTTTATCTTTAACTTACTTATAATCTTAATTTAGAAAAGATAAAAGTTTCATAACGCCTCTAATAAGTTTTATTACGCTCTTATACTATACTAAGAGTAAAGTAATTATCTTATAAATCTTTTTCATCGCCGTTAAAAGTGCTATTAGCTTTTCTTATATTCTTAAAAGAGTATTCTTTAGTAAGTCGATCTCCTTCTTTATATATACGTAATTATCGTAAGTATCTACTTCCTTAACTTTTAACTCTAAATTCGAATCCTCGAAAACGAATAGCTAGTAAATCGGTTTCTTCTTAATTATTACTTTATCACTTAAATTCTCAAATTTCGACTTCTTAGAGTCCGGCTTCTCGACGGTCTTTTTTAAGAATTTAGCTTTAATTATAATATTCTTCGTCGCAGACCTAGTCTTATAAGTAGCCTCGTTCTTTTTAAGTCGTTTTATATTAGTATTTGACGACGATATTGTTCGTTTCTTAGTCTCTAGCAAGATACTCTTAGACTTCTTTAAGGAATCTATCTTCTTTATAGCGGCTTTCTTTATCTTCTCGAAGTTATACTTAAAGTTCTAAATAAAGTAGAGATAATCTTAGTGAAAATTATAGTTATTATACTTCGCGGCGTTAA